ATTACCCGTGACGTTGCGCAATCTCATCAAGTGCTTGTGGTAAAGCGCGGGGGATGCACCTTTTCACAGAAACTTCGGAATATCCCGGCATATCCACCGTCGCGAAAAGCCCTGAAACTCGTTATTGTTGTTTCCTACGAGGAGGAAATGCACATTCAGAGCCAGCAGCACCTGGGTCCAGGACTCGCGGCAATGCTTGCAGAGCCATACCTTGCGCGTCCGCAGCTAGACGAAACACAGGTGACAACCGGTGGAATCCCACGTCGCCACCTGCTAAGCATGGTGATGGCGGGTGGCGGGGAAGAGACATACGAACTCCTGCGCCAGGCAAACGGAGTGGGCCTCAAACGGCGGTATTCAATGCGGTCGCAGGGCGTTCCGATCAGTAATTTATTTGTTGTTTAACAGAGTACATAAATTCATTTCGGGGATGTTTTGTTATAATAGAGTTAATCCAAAGGTGGTTGGTTCCACAGTTCCACAGTTCCCTGTGTTTCAACTTTTCATATCAGAACCAGGGTTCGAGTCGGTTCGATTTTTGAGTCAGGATTCGGGAGCCAGGAACCTGAATTTACCATCGCCCCCGAACTCCACTCCCGCTCCCCGCTAGTTCTCAGGCTGATCAACTACTCTTCATTCTTCCAACTTACATTCCTGCATCCTACACACACCCACGTTCCAGAGTTCCCCGAAAGAAAAGCAGTATGCATCTCCAACAAGACCAGACTCAGGACCCATCATCAATCCCACCTCTCCACTCAACTCCGGCCATAACCACAGCCATAACAATCGCCCTGTCCCCCGCACCCCTCCAAACAAACTTACAACGTCAAGAAACCGGTCAAAAGACGAAGTACCTTTATTTTGCCTATGGCTCCAACCTGTCGCCCACGCAGATGCGCATGCGATGCACCCACGACCCAACGCTCTCGGCACACCCCGTCGCAATCGCGGCGCTGGACTCATGGCGCTGGCTAATCTGTCAATTCGGATATGCGAACGTCGTCCCGCCCGCGGGGTTACGCGTTGGTCGGCAAATAACCGAGGGGGATGCAGTGCCTGAGTCGATTTCGGAATCGATTCCGCACGGAGGTGTTTATGGGGTTCTTTATGAGATGAGTCAGGAGGATGAAAAGCTGTTGGACGGGTATGAGGGGGTTGATCAGTGCTCTGGGCTTCCTTTGCCCGGATCTGGTGTTCCGGCGAGAATTAGACCCAGGGAGCAGGGGGATGGCGAGTATAATAAATGGTATGTTGGGGCGAGAGTGGTTAAGTGGTTGGACGAGGGGTATAGAGAACGGAACGGGTTTGAGAGAGAAGGTGGCGAGATCAAAGTGTTGGTTTATATTGATGAGGAGCGTGTGAAGCTTGGAAAACCCAACGATGAGTATATTCCGCGAATGAATCGGGCGATTAACGAGTCCGTGAAGCTGGGGTTCCCGGAGGACTGGGCGGAGGAGGTCATGAGGCGTTCCATTCCGCTGGATTAGATTATATATTAACTTGCATGTCCACCATCAAGCTAAAGGGAATTATTAATTATGCTACACATAGTATATTCAGAATTCAAAGTCTATAGTGATTAAGAACAGAAGAAGCCCTTCGTTGATCCCTCAAGCGTCGGAAATCACGTCCTCTTTCAGGCCGCCAGCGGGTCGTGATGCGTGTGAATAATATGCCGTTTACCCATTGACACGACCCAATTTGTAACTGTAGGTCCGTCTAGGTTCAGATGCTCTGTCGAGCTTGAGATCGTGGCAATTGGGGAGTCGAGGAGGGCGAGGCCGGGGCCGATATATATCGATACCTTTTATTTTGGAAGCCGTTGACTTCGTAGAAAACATCATTTAAGATCGTAAAGAGATCGTATTAGGCCTGCGACTCCTGGCCAGAGAGCAGAGTGTAAACGGGTGCAGGCAGCTTCTCGCGCCCCTTGAGGAATTCCAATTCGAGCAAGAAGATGAAGCCCAATAGATTGCCACCCATCTTCTTGATGAGTTCTCCTGCAGCGTACGCCGAGCCGCCTGTAAATTTAAAGGCATTGTTAGTCAAGCGAAGTATCGTAATAAGCGCAGAACGTACCGGTTGCAATAATATCATCTACCACAATCACCTTCTGACCAGGCTTGATCGAGTCAGACTGCATCTGGAAGAAATCCTGACCATATTCCTTGTCATAGGCCTGAGTTTCACATGGGCCCGGCAGTTTGCCCTGCTTGCGAACCGGGACAAAACTGGCGCCCAGTCGCAGAGCGAGACTAGGGCCGATAAGGAAGCCTCGGGCCTCAAGGCCGACGATAACGTCGGGTTTTTCATTAGCGTGTGTTTCGAGGACGTGAAGTTCGAGGCAGCGGATGAGGGCTTCGTGCACGGAGTGGTCGGCGAAAATAGGAAGAATGTCTTCGAAGAGAATTCCCGGGGACGGGAAGTCAGGGAACTGGCGCAGCGCCGCGCGCAGCTTTACCTTAAGACTGGCGAGTTCGGCGGTGCGGGAGGGAGCGGAGGAGGGGTGTTCGGCGACTTGGGTGGTGGTGGAGGCATCGGGGGCTGTGGAGGAGGCTTGTTGGGACATGTTGAAAGGAAAAGAAAGGAAGGAAAAGAGAAAGGAAAGAAAAGAAGTAGAGGTGAGGGGTGGGAAGACTTGCGCAGGTAGAAATAGTTTTTCTGATAAGCAGAGGGGGGGGGGAGGGAAAAAAACCTGAGGATCTGAAATTCTGAATCGTAAAAAGATTTGATACAGAGTTACGGAACTGAGATTACTCAGGCAGCCCACGGTGTCACTCACTCCACTCCTCATGCTACGACTGTCTCTGGAATATTAATATTTGTTTCCTGACTCTTTGCAATAATACTCCAACTGCACTGCTTTCTTCACTTTGAACAGTATCAGCCTATGGACTAGCCTTACATGCTTCCAGAACCCAGAGTTCTTCTTGTTTAGTCCACTATACTATACTACTAACCACTGGTACCTGGGCGTAATACAAGACCCCGCCAGCCTTCGCAATCGAGTCTAGAATCCTATCATCAGCCCACCGCCGCTGTCTTTCCCCTCCACTCCCCTCACGATGTGCGCCCGTCAATCACCGAGAGTTACTCGAGGTTATTTCTGTCAAGTCTCAAGTCCACGCTCGATCTGGCTCAGCCGGTTGGCTTTCATTCCTTGAAACACTTTAGGATTAGCAGCGGTTGGTCAACTTGCTTCGTTTTCCATATTCTCTGCAGAAGTGCAGATACGACTCTTTCTCCCCGTCTGTGGATCAATGACACCACCACCGATCGTCAATGCATGGTGAAATGGTGCGAATCGCTATCCTCCTAGCGGATGGGTAAATGCTCGCCACTTGCCTCAAGTGCGCACTTAAAGGTTCCTTTTGGTGCCTACGGAGCGCTGCAGTCTCGCGCCGTGTTTCAAATAATCCTCGTCGAAGGACTGCATTCGACTCGTCTAGAAGACCCTTCCGCTTCCCCGTCTGAGAGGGATTCGCGGCCCGAACTCACGTCCAGTACGTACTAACGCCATCGGTTGGAGGGGGGTGCTCTCTTGTAAAGTTCGTATTGGCCAGTACATTACACGCCCTCCTTCCAAAGGGTACTCCAGTCTCCGGCATAACGTGGTATGGATACAGTAATCTCTTGGCCATTATGGCTCACCAACCATGTGCGTTTACTTTGTCGTTGACAGTTTCGAGGATAATTGTTTGCACCCAGCCTATAACTTTGACCTTCGGTGATATTCTAGATCCAGAAATCGGGAGGCAAACAAGGCGGGGACCTACACCCTGTATATTTCGCCTGTTCTCGCAGGGCCGGGGAGGGTCCTTCTTGCACTGGAATGCACCGCAGATGCAGATCCAAGCTCAGTAGTAGATGGATGTTATTCCGTTGTTTATCTATTTGACATTATTTGTTGGCTGGTGGAGTTGCCAAACACTACTTTTGCATCAGTATGCAGCACCTCGATTCCTGTGCATTACTATTGCACCTGATAACACATACTGGCCGAACAGTTGCTGCTCTCTTCTGTATTCTCAGGCTTTCAACACCCATCCTTGTGTCCTACATTACTCTACACCCACCTTTGTTGTTGTTGTTGTTGTTGTTGTTGTTGTTGTTTTTCCCTTGGGCACAAGAGCGCTTTGAAAATATTGTTTTCTAAGTTCCTAATATATCGAGCGCAAGGCTCTCACGAAGCCATCGATGATGAATAGAACATTGGGTTGTCCCGCGCCTCGGTAGATTGTCATTACAGTTGTATTATTATTTATAGAAGGATAATGGATCCTGGCACAACCAACAAGACACATCCACAGCCCAGCTTTCCAGACCTTCCCGAGAACTGCCAGTGGAGTACGTATTATACTTTCCACTTGGCTCGGAACCTTATCTGCTGTTGCTTTATTGAGTTATACTATCAGGTGAGCCGAGCCGCTGGATGTTTACTTTGCTGTGCCATTACTATTGATAGCCCATGAACTCGCTTTGCTCGGTTTCTTCCTTCTGCGCTGGTCATGAACTATGGAAGCTCAACGTTGCAGAGCTTCATCCACGGATACATGCATGACATGCTCAATCATCACGCAAGAATATGCTGCTCGCCTACCCAATCAAGGCAACAGTATTATTTGATCGACAGTACTTCCCTTACATTATGCATGGACTCGAGAATATTGCTATCCTGCCAGTCAAAGATAGCGAGAAAAAAAGTTAGTGGTAAAATCGATGTGAATGAAGATCAGATTTCTTTAAAAGGTGTTTGAACGTCCTGTACCAGTTAGGACGTAATCACGTGTATGCACGGGCCATCTCGCTTATGGCAGGTGACTATTTAAGGCAACAAAAAGAGTTGAAGCTTCTTCCAGCTCCCTCACTCACTATTCTGTCGCACGACAGTCTGCTTCATGTTTCTTCTGTTGTACTTCTGCGGAAGGCAGAAGTGCTCTCTATCTTTGGCAGATGTCTTTTTTACTGTCTTGTAACTCTATTGCCTCTCTTACATGATGTCTCCTGTCTCTCTGGCTGCCAATACGCAGCCGGACCGACAGTTGAAAATATTAGCTCAAGCTTTCGAAACTCTACTACTAACTACCCAAAAAACCAACTCCAAGGCGAAACACCTTCAGGAAAGGCTGGAATATGCCCATGATGAGGTATTTTCTTCCCCCACCCCCTGGCACCCACAACCCTTGTCTCAAGTGATGAGAGAACTTGATTAGCTCTAGATCAGGAGTCCATGCGACGGTGACGGACATATCATGTATTATCTGATGAGACTTCGCTGCTTTGTTTCTTCTTCTTCTTTTTTTTTTTTTTTTTTTTTTTTTTTTTTTTTTTTTTTTTTTTTTTGGTTTAAGTTGCCCAGTCGATCGCTGCTGACTTTTGCAAGTATCTCAAGCTCGCAAACCGATCTCCCGAAGGACTCGACCCGCACAGCAAGATTGTCTCGGAGAAGATACTTGGCCGCGATGTTGAATTTGACAACCCCCAGAAGCAGAATCTAAATTCAGTGGATGTAGTAAAAGTTCTTTCAGAGTCTGGAAACGTAGGAGATTCGGGCCTTGCTGCCATAACAGAGGGGGTGAGGATTTACAAGTCGTTCCTCAACCCTGATGATGATGGATCAACCGGGATGGTTGCGACAAGAGCTGGCTCGCTAGAAAGAGATTTTACTACCCGGGGCACACGTGGAAGTCTGCGCTGCCCCTTCTCGAAGCCTCAAAAGTTGTCCTCTGAAAATGGGGTCAATGGAATCGAAACTGCGTTGCCGTTACAAAATGGTAATATGTGCGGCTACCAACATTTAGATCCCATCAAAGAGGAGCAGCTGGATAGACAATCAAGTCAAGCTCCCTCTGCGCGTTCGTCAACTCGCTGCCCCGCCTCGCGATGTCCTATTAGATATCTAGATCAGCATAGTCCGGAAGAAATGGCGGATTATGTGGAGCGACACAAGCATGAAATCCCCAGAAGTCATGCAATATGTGTCAAACGGTACTCCAACAGCTCTCGGCAAATGGATGCGAAATACGGCAACCTCACCAACATGATTCGAGGCTTGTCAGAGAAGCATCGAGCGTTCCTCCCTGGTGACGGCTCACGAACCGCTAGCTCCTCGGCGGAACGTGTGGAAAAATGGGCAGACGGGGTCAATTCTCAGACTCCGGCTGAAGGCGACGATATTGAAAACGACGAGGATCGAAAAGGCCACTTCGATCGGCCTCTGCGAGATATCCGCGTTGGAGAATCACCGAGCAGGCCTTGGGGCATCCACGTTCCCATACCTCCGGCTCCAGCGTTTGAATCTCCTACCCAGTCACCTGCGGCTCCTGGCGTGACTGCCGACAAGCCGTTCGATACTGCAACAGGGCCGCCTAAGGGCGGTTGTCCGTTCGGTCACGGCGCAGGCGCCCCTCCCCCAGACCACCCAGCCGTAGAAACGGAGAGAGTTCGCAATGAAGAACCTGCCCAGACGCCCGATGGAACAAGTATGAAGGACGAAAAGCGAACGGATGATCCGCCGGAGGCCCCGGCAGCGAATATCGTGTTCAATGGGCCTGTGTTCTTTGGATTCTCCGCCGAAAAGACTGCAGCGTTTATGCAACAGCTGGGCAGTCTGGGCAACAACAAAACATGATATGCCCCTAGCCCTTATGTTCGGTGAGAGCAAACTTTCATAGTATATACGTATACATACCGTTATCGTTACTGGGGTTGGATATCTTGATTATTCGTTATTATTATTTTTAGCGTTTTGGAGCACGGAGTTCAGGCCATTCAATGTACTATATACGATCTGGCGGCACTTGTACATATCATCCAAGTCGGTCTCACATGTGTTGACGCGGTACATACTGTTAATATTAAATACATTATTCTTATCTGCCCCAAATCTATTTCGAGGCCTCACTAGTTGAAACCAATGACCAGCCTCAATGCGGCAACTTTAGCAGTCCGCAACTCCGCATAAGGGCTCTCCACCCTGGTTCTTCGTCCGAACCTACCGAACCTACCGAGCTTTGGACTTTGGGCTTTTCTTTGACCATACCTCGAAACCAACAACAGAAAAGCACAATAACACTCATAATACTTGGTATTTCATTATAGATCTTCACCCCCAATTATTACGTACTCAGCAGCGACTTCGTGTAGTAATACCTACACCGTAGTATAACCCCGCATGTGTTCATAGACTGGGGCGGATCTCCGCAGCCGAGAAACCTCGGGCTGGGTTCAACGGTAAACCGGTGCCGCTGGGGTAGCAGACGATGATAACGTGAAAGTGGCATTATGATTAAATAAGAAGACCGCTTTTCGTTTAAATATCCTATCGGCCGCTTGAATTTGGTTTTTGCTTTTGTTGTTGCCAAATCTGCTTACGCTTCTGTGCATCCACCCCGTTCTACCTACATACAACCCTGCATAGGAGTGCCTCTGTACCGCAGTACAGAGTTGTCGGCAAAATGGTGGTATACCTCCCCGACAAGGATTATGATTTTCCCAACATTGATTTGTTGACACTTATTTTCGGTATGTTTTCGAACATCTCGTACTGCAGTTTTGTGGCTGACCCACGTCATGGCAGACTCGCCTATCCCTGAGAGTGCAGAGAGTACAATTCTCCATGCAGAAGCGGCGGACCCCTCGAATGCCGTCACAAAAGCCCAGACACGTCTTCTTACCCGCCAAGTTGCATATATTTTGCGCCACCATTTTGGCGTTGGAAGTCGGGGCGCAGGGACAGACGTTGCTGTTGGAGTCTCCGGTGGCCAGGTACTACTCCCGTCTGTCTTCTATGGCGTTGTAGCTGCTGGTGGTGTTTGGAGTGCGGCATCTTCAACTGCTACACCCCCTGAGCTAGAGAGACAGATCCGCCAGGGAAGTAGTCAGTTGATTATCTCAGGCCCAGAGTCCAAGGACGTGGTGTTGAAGGCCGCCCAGGCTGCGGGTGTCCCGCAGAATCGTGTGCTTATCCTCCGAAGTATGGGTCATGAGCGCGTGCTTCAGAATGCTGCCACGGGACAAAACTATCTCGATGGCTTGAAGCCGTCAGAGGTCTTGGACTGGGAGCGCATCACGGATCCGAAAAAGTTGGAAGACTCTCTCATCTGCCTGTTGTATAGTAGCGGAACTACCGGAGCACCGAAAGGTGTCAATATTTCGCATCTCAATATGGTTACTGAGGCTTTGATTCCTATCTATTTCGACAACGAGTATATTGCACAACGGCGTCAGACAGATCCCAAGTATGAGCATCCGTATCGCACTCTGGCTCATCTCCCCACTGCTCATGTTGCCGGATGTCAAGGGTATTTCGTTAATCCTGCCGCCTGCGGGGGCACAGTTTTCTGGATGGAGAAGTTCGATTTCCCCAAGTTCCTTCAATACAACAAGCAGCTGGAGATTACGTTCTTTTTCACTGTGCCTCCCATCTATTTGTTGATAAGTCTCAGCCCAGCCGTCACAGACCAGTTCAAGACACTGCGCCGCGCTTATTCCGGTGCCGCTCCCATGGGTGCGGACCTGCAAGCAAAGGCGCAGAAGAAACTTGGATGTCTGATCAACCAGACCTGGGGGTTGAGCGAGACAACCGGCAGCACCACTGGTATGCCTTGGGAGACGGAAGACCTGTCCGGCAGCGTCAGCCGTCTCCTCCCGAATATGCGCCTGCGGATTGTCGACGAGGACGGCAAGGATGTTGAGGAGGGTAAGGAGGGAGAGTTCCTTGTCAAGGGACCCGTAGTGACCAAGGGCTACTATGGGAACCCACAGGCCACTAAGGAGGCCTTCACTGAAGACGGGTGGTTCAAGTCAGGGGACATTGGCGTGCGTCGAGAGGGGCTCTTCTACATAGTTGATCGGAAAAAGGTACTTTCCACTTTCTTCCCTATGACGAACTGAGGTTGGGAGCTTATACTGACGAATCAGGAACTCATCAAATACAAGGGTCTCCAAGTCGCCCCCGCCGAACTCGAATCCCACCTCATCTCGCACCCTCACATATTTGACGCCGCCGTCATCGGTGTCCAGGCTCCCGATGGATCCGGGAACGAGGTTCCACGTGCGTACATCGTTGCGGATAAAACGAAGATCAACGAGGACCAGGTCAAGGATTTTGTCAAGAGTCACCTGGCACATTACAAACAGCTCCGTGGTGGTGTTGTGTACCTGCAGGCCATACCAAAGAGCCCCAGTGGGAAGATCTTGCGCCGGGAACTTCGTGATCTGGCCAAAAAAGATGCTCAGGCAGCCAAGTTGTAGATTACCCGCCAGTCCATTGTTAGTAATTGTATGGAGATTTAGAAGAGGTATATACTTTAGCTTGGTTGGTTAGTCAATCTTACTCCTCCTCTGTCCGTCCGGTTGGCGGAGGAGAGAATCAGTTGGTCGGCGACTCGGAGTAGACGAGGAAGTAGGAAGTGGGGAGATGACTCCATGTCTTTCTGCCCCTCCAACTTTCCCGCGGAATACACCAATTCCCCCTCGCAACTCACACTATATCTATCCATGCTCAGGATCTCGCCTCGCCTGTTGACCATTTCTCGTCCTCTTTTAACAGCCCCAATTCACTCTCGGCTTATCTTTCGTGGTCAATTGCCTGTACAAGCAGCCAGAATGTCCGATCTAACCAACATCTTCACTGCCAACGCTTGCCCGCGTAAGTTCTCACCATCTATCATTTTTACGATCCCCAAAATTGCACTCGACTCTTCGGATCTTATAACGAAAGCTAACTAGACAATTGTCTCTAGCCGTGGGTCCCTACGTATGTCTCCCATTCCTCTTTCTCCCAACACCCAGCAGCTGCTACCCCGCACAAGCTCTCAAAACAAACACCGAGAACAGAGATCGATGAAAGCGCTACCGATAATCCATTCTCATAACACATACTGAACAAAAGACAGTCCCAAGCCGTCAAGGCAAATGGCCAGATCTTCCTCTCGGGCCAAATTCCCGCGGACAAGAACGGCAGCCTTGTTGAGGGTGACATCGCAACTAAGACCCAGGCTTGCTGTGACAACATTAAGGCCATCCTCGATGCCGCCGGATCGTCTGTTAGCAAGATCATCCGTGTCAATGTGAGTCCTAATTTGGTTCTTTTGTTTAATGACTTTCCTGGAGTTAAATGGTTAATGGCGGGGTTGTTTGCAGGTCTTCCTCGATGACATGTCGAACTTCGCAGAGATGAATGCGCAGTATGAGAAGTTCTTCACCCACAAGCCTGCTCGTTCTTGTATCGCAGCCAAGCAGCTGCCTAAGGGTGTTCCAGTTGAGATTGAATGTATTGCTCTTGCGTAAGTTTTGAGTGATATGACCACACGCGTAGGTGTGCATAAATAGGGATAAAAAGCAATTTATGGAAATACAAGTGGTTGTTTTATGTTGAGGCTGTACTGGTATAGTGATGATTATCATTATGTTATGTACTGCAAATTCGCCGTTATCCACATTTCAGATGAAAACAAAAGGAATCACAAATCATCAATCAGTATTCATGTTGTAGACAAACAGAAACATGAACGAGTAAACCCAAATCGATCATAATCCACGACGTCCCAAGGTACCAGCCATTCGTCCTCCTGCGCCAGCCATAAGGCTTTGCTTGACAATGGCATCTGCTGCCGCTGCTGCTGCAAGTCTTTCTTTCTGGCGGCTGCGATCACGAAGGTACCCAGCTGCTTCCGGCCGCATTCGGAGGATCCGCAAAATCATGTCATCGTTGGGATCAGCTTGTGCCTCGCGCCACTTCTCCGCTTTAGCCTTTTTCATCGTGCCCAAGTTCCGTGAGGCCATGACACTCTTGGCACGACGTCCACCTGGGACGCCGAGAACGCTGGGATGGCCTCCGAGACCAACGTTAGGCGGCGCAGAGGCCCGGTTTCGGTTCGCTTGTTGCCGGGATATTGTTGCGGAGGCCATGCGCTCTGAAGTACGTATGAGAGTGTCTGTAGGTTCAAAATAGAAGAAGTTCAGACTCTGAATCTCATGATATTTGGGCGATTTCAAGATATCGATGGAAACACCCGCAGCTTCCCCCGTCTCTTCGTCAGGTGCGTGGAAGAAATTTAGTAGAAGCACGAGCCAGCGTGAGACAATTTCAACTTCCTGCATTGTAAGGGGCTTTTGATGAGATGGTTTATCCGACAGTGGGGGCACGAGTAAACTTTCAATAGTAGCTAGCACTTCCTTCCACAGGCGTGCCATGACCATTCTCATGGCTTCGGGCGTGAGTGTCTTGTCCATAATTGCAAAATTATCGTTGAAATAATCAAATAGGGGCGTCAGTGCGTTCTCAACATCGACGCTAGAAGGGGCAGCAGTAGATTGTTGGGCGCGGTTTCGATTCAAGAAGTTCGATACTGTCGAGCCGAGTCCTCGTGATAGCAATGATTTCAGAGTCCGCCGAGACAGACAATGGTTAATATATGCAGTCAGCTAGTGCTTGTCAGTAACTCATTCGCACATGGAGAATTGGAAGCTTACCTTTTCCGTGATTTTCCGCGTCATGTCTCTTTCTGTTCGCTTCAAGGTTCGGAATGCTTTACCAAAGTAAAATTGGATATCGTCACGTTCTCCTTCCATGCTAACTCGGAGCAAAAGCCGCCCTTGCGTATCCAAGTCTAGCCAATACTCCCTGGGTAGGAAATCGCTGAAATGTACCGGATCGAGTTTGATTGACGTACGGCCAACATAGTCATGGTCACCTACTGCATCCCAGTCCCAGATTGTGGCAATTATATTAAGAGGCCCTTGAGTCGTGATGTCCACAGTGTCATCCCACCGTGGGTTAAGGTTGTTGTAGATGATGCGTGTCTTCGCAATTCGCTTCTGATACTCGTCGGCCAGAACAACATACGGATCACTGCCCCCATTCATATCACAGGCTTTCAAATCCTCCGCCTCCACGACTTTAATCGTGAAAACATACGTTGTCGACTTACGTATTTTCTGAAGCTGTGGAGGGCTATGCCGAGCAATCGCCTCCGCGCAGCCGTCAACGTTCACCTCGCGCTCGAGCCTATCCAGTTGACTGAGGGCATATTCAACGTTGTTCAATTTGACCAAGGACTGTAGAAATTAATTAGCTGTGCACATCGATAACCGCCACGCCTCACTAAGCTTACCTCCGGGAAGAATTGAAATGGCTCAATTTTCTCTTTGTTGGTCCACGCATCTTTTGCAAACTGCATCAGCTTTTCTTGGGCCGTTTGGTTCAAAGCTGCCTCCTGGTCTGGGGAAAGTCTATCCATTTCCCTCGCAAACATCTTTTCGACCGTTTCACAGTATCTGGCCACGGCCCCGCCGATCGATTTCGACAACGCGGTCATGAATTTCGCGTACTGAAACTCGTCAGCCCAGTTGAGTTGTATCATCTGCTCTATAACTTGGTTGAACGAGCGGAATATATCGATTATGGACACGCTATGCCTGGAATTTTCAGCGGCTGCTTGGACCGTGTCACCATCCTGGACTCTGAAAGCGTCTTGTCGAAGTGCTTGTTCAACCCAATCCATGACCTTCTTCTCAGTAAGGCGTATCCATCTCCAGACAAAGTCTTCTAATACGTCTTCGATATGGAAGGGGAATGAAGCACTAGTCAAAGTCAGTCAGCACCCATTACCACTCGACTACTGCAAGGATCTTACTCGGGAAGTGCATTTGCAAATAGTTCGCGCACAGCCGATAGCTGTTTGTAAAGGTCAAACGCGTCATTCATGTCGAGTTCTTCTTCTCTAGTCTTCTCCAGTTCGATGATTCGAATCATCAATTGATGGATATCCTCAGCAAATATCACGAGAGTATTTGCTAATAAAATTTCATACGGGTTGACCCTGATAAGTTATGTCAGCAAAGAGCCTTCGTATAGAGTATCAATACTGCCTACCCCATAATCTCTGGATTCTTTCGATAGCGTTTGCGAATTTTCTCCGAATGTTTGGTAATAGCATCGCAAAGATTTATGACATGCTCAAATTCCCACTCCTCGGGTTCCACGGGAACCTCCTGGCCCAGAATGCTTTGATATTTCTCGGTAGCTTTCTGTGACATGCCGTCCTGGACATACGAACGGAAGCGGTCTATATCGCCCGTGTCCTCGGTATAGTCGGGATCAAGCTGAATATGGTTCTCCAAAACGTACATCGTCGGCCCGATTGGACGAGGTTTGGCCTCGTAGCAATCCATCATTACATCATATAGCTCCCGCAATATGGCCTCATGAAGGGAAGAGAGTATTTGGCACATCAGCAACCTGTCATGTACGGTCCATCTGTGTCTGTCAAATAGCACCGACGAAACAAAACTGTTGCGCTTCTTGCCTTCTGAAGATGGCATTTCCTTGACAAATATAAATGCTGAGTCCAGAGTGTCGAGGTCAATCTCATTATCCACAAACTTTGACCGCACAACATCCAAAAATAGAACGATCCTGGAACACAACGGGATTCTCCAGCGTAGACAAATTTCATTCAACATTTCTGTTGATTGCTTAGAAAACAACTTCATAGATGGTACATCCGATGTGGCTTGTGTAGCTTCGAGATCACGGTCTTTCAGGTCGTAGCTAAAAGCTTGTGCTAGAATGGTGCCATACACTGACCTTGGATCTGGAGGTATGAAAGTGTAGGTATCAGATTCTTCCGAGTCATCATTCAGGGAATTCAGAGACAAAGAGCTCAAATCCACGGGCTGATCTATCACGTATGATATAGGTCGCCCGGTGCTTGTTCGCGATAAGTCTCCAGGGCTTGGTTCTCCATGGGCATTGTCAGCTGCACTCGCGTTGAACTGAGGAACGGCACTTCCAGGAGTGTTTTTGGCTAGTCCAGGGTTCGATTGCATGATAGCGAGCATCATTTGTGATAGGTCCGGCCCTTCGCTCCTTTTCCAAGTCTCATATGCTTCTTCATCTTCAAAATCATCCGCGGAGAGTGATTTTCCAGTTTTGAGACTAAGATGAGTTTGATATGTTTTGAGATCTCGGAGCGCTGCTTGTTCGGTCCATACCCCCCGATGACCATCAATATCAGCTTGGACCTGGGAGATGTCTATGTGAAATATCTTCGCAACATGCTGTACAAGCGGCATATCCTTCACGTCATAGCTCAAGGGGGCTACAACCTCAACAGTGGACGGGCCTGTGGCTTGCACGAGATCCTGATCTTGAGAGAGAAGCTTGGTTTCCAGGACCGCTAATCGATTTGCAAGCTCTGGTCGTTCCTTCGCCCAGTCGTTGTTTTTGAGAATAAGCGCAAACAAACGAACGAAGAGAGCCACATGCCTATCCACCATAAATCTCCAACCATCATCATCGGGTTCTTTACCCTTGCTCAGTTCCTTAGTCGCATTTGAATAAAAAATGAGGACGAGATCTTCGGCGCGTCGGTCCTTCTCCATCCGCTTCTTAAATGAATGATCCTTCAGCGCGTTCAGAAATGCAGCAAAGGTCCGAACAACCAGTGGATCTTGATATTCTTTTCTCTTTTCTTTCCCCATCAAAACCCCTGTCAGCCTCTTCTCGAGCTCGGATATAAAGCCGTGGGGGAATCTGGAGCTCTTGGAGTCCCGAATCAAGGAAAAATCGCTCATCAAATCCTGAAACGACGTCGAAGCCCGCTTCGGCCGTTGTTGGGGAGCTGGCGCATTCTGAACACGTCGTGCGCGAGGATGAAGAAGGTGGGCAAGGTATGCAGTACGAAGTGCATAGGAGTAGGCAGTTGAGGAGTTCACCGTACGACGGCGAGATAACGAGACGTTGCGCGAGTGACGAGCTTCATTTTGGATACTGTTCACCCGTCGGTTTATGCCTCGGGATTGGGTAGATGCTGTAGACATGGAGATTGTTCGCTATCTGGGTTCTTCAGCATTTAAACGGCGAGGGGCGGCGAAGTGCGGGACCACGGGAGGTGAGTTCGCGGTGCAGAGCGCCAGCTTGCGCAGCTGGACGTAATACTTGTGGAAAACCTAAATTTGCCTCGCTCTATTCAGAAAAACGAGAATGGAACTATATGTTATGAAAATGAACAAGTAGCGAGGTTGAGTTAGATGAGGTGAAGAAGAAAGGGGCGTGTGGTTGCGGCGGGAGATCATTATTGTGTTGCAAGTTGCTCCCTACACCTGAAAGGCTGAAACAGAACAAGACCACCCCCAACATTAAAAATAAACAGGCATAAGCGCCGCGCTCGAATATCAGAAACAATCCTATTTAAAAAAAAGCACTACTTTGATATATAAAAAAAGAAGTTTATGTTACATCTATTTAAATTTAGCGGTTAGGGAGCCTTTCTGCATGGTTTCTGGGTCTGTACTTTCTTGTATGCAGACCAAACAATCATGGTAGCGGTTCTCAGATGGATAACAGTTAAGTTACCCTCCAAGCAGTCTTCTCTATTACCACTGACCCATTATCCTCAGTTACGCACCCCGTAGCCATCTTCAGCGGTACAAGGATATAGGCCGAGGTATATTCCCAGTGGCAAGGTAGGCTCCCATTTCAATAACCCGATACTCGATAGACGCCGGAACAAATCGCATTGTATGTATTTACACATGAGAAGATATCATCACAAAGACTCTTCGCCAGCTTTGCGAGCCTAAAATTCCATGTTAGAGGTTGGTCAAATTGAACGGTGATAGAACCGCCACGTACCGGGACAGCACTCCGTCCCCCAAGTTCCTTCTCCAGCCCATCAGGGTAGGTTTTAGGAGCGCTCGGTCTGTCAGGATAGAAGAGGCTCACGACGCCGCAGAGCCCTAGAAACGCCGCGACGAAGCCGCCGACTTGGAAAAAGGCTTTGCGAGAGGTTACATGGGTATATTGCTCGGGACTGAAAACTCCCAAGACTTCGTTCTCTTCGTGGACCGGTTCGCCGAAGTTTCTCCTCTCTTGCTGATCCCACCAACCGCCGTACGGGTCTCTGTGTGCACGCTTCACTCGGGGAGGGTTCTGGTAGCCACCATTCTATGAAGGCGCCCAATTGCGTCAATTAACATGAATTTCAGCATTATAATATCTGTACAGAATCATACCTGCAGAGGATCATCGCTTTCAGCGGCTTTCAGTGAGTGAATTTGTGAAAATGAGGCGCGGAATGTGGTAGAGCGAAGGGCAGCCTGGGGCAGGCGCCGCGATAGAATGCGTTGAGCAAGCATCTGTAGATCAAGATCAGCACATAAAAAATTACGTAGAGCCATAGGAGAGGGCCTCGTCGAACTAACATTCTGCTGCTTTGGATAGAAAGTTGCGGCGTAGGGAGGGGAGGAACGAATGGCTCAATTAGTCTTGGGATGAAGTGTGGTTGCAGACAACGGGGATTCCGGATTATGTAACCTCACTGCACTGTGGACAGCGCGCGGTCAGGCTAGCTTACTACACGTCCGCCTGAAGTTGACTCGTCGTCAGAGGGACTGGAAAAAAACCACATCTTCACGCAATCCATCCATTTCATCGACATTTTCACCTACCAGCCACGCTACATTACCGATAACTATGCCAGACTTCTGGTGGCACCTCAACTTAGTTTCCGCTACCTGCTGATGCGAATTTTACCCGTTCCAACCGCGTCCTCGTCGGGAAAACTGGGGTCAACTGTGAAGAGGGCCCCTGTCTCCGTTATTACAAGAGATGCAAAACGGTACAACTAATGGTACACCGCGCCAAAATGAACGAGTAACCCCGGAAATCGAGTCTGCTCCCTCTGGTATTTTCTCAAACGGACCCCCTTTTGATTCTGCCACTCTTGAGCAGTCCGAGATAAAAGAAGAGGTCGCAACCGATCGCAATGACGGGCCTCCCTCGAAACGCCGAAAGGTCACGAGCTCCACGCCTTCTCACCGGCCAAGCTCTCGGGCGATCTCACCCCCCTGGAAGAAGGCAGGCGCTGATGGCCCGACATCGAAACTCGTGGATGGAAAGCGTCGGTCTACAAGAGTTAGCATTGGGGGCCCCTTCGAACAACCCGCATCGAATACAAAACCGTCGCGATCTGGCCAAAAACAGTATATAGGTAAATCTCTGTCTAGCCGAGGAGATGCCGTCGCGGCATCCCCGTTGGCAAACTCCCCATCCCGTCCAGGCCCGAACAGAAGATCCCTTGGTGGCGCCGGCGTGGTGAACGGTTCATCAAGTACCACGGCAAAGCCTTCAAATGGACGGAAGTGGCAAGATTCACCTTCTCCCGCACCGAAACGTACATCTACGCGCATAAGGCCCGATATTTCTGGTGCTACGAATTACAATAATCGAAACGTTAACGGAGTCGCTAGCCACTCGAACCCAAATAAAACTAGATCAACGCGATCCTCCCTACACACGTCATCGGTTGGAGTTAATATAGGACACGACACGGTAACTAGCTTGGAGGACGGTGGAAACGACGAGCATGATGAAAAGGGACAGCGGATACCTCGGCTACGGATCAAAGTCAAAAAACCAACACTCGGCATCCAGCACCCTTCTCACGTTTTACCTGCTCGCAAATACAGCTCATTTAAAGAATGGATAGAGAGGGAGGGCGCAGGGAATCCTGGGGAGGGCGTGTATACGTCAGCAGGCGCCTTGGGGGAAGCGCACAAGCGGCAACAAGTAATGAACGCAATGGAACCTGGTGGACTTCTTAGTGCTGAGGTCTGCTCTGCATTTTTGCCGGAACATCAGGAGGAGCCACCCCAGCAATACTCGCACCAAGACCATCTTGTAGCCCATGGGATATACTTCAAGAAGCTTCTTGACCAGGAACACCGTCGTCATCGGCATACTGCTCGAACTCTTGCGTACTTGTGTGCGGAAGAATGGAAAAAGCGCAACAAGGACCCCGAAGACATACTCAGAGAACAACAAGAGGTAATGCGCGGAAAGCGTAAACAGCTGGCTAAGGACCTCAAGAAAATGTTTGATCTAGCCCGGGCGGAAATTGACCGGATACGGCTTGCGCGCTGGGAAGAGGAGCAGAAAGCCAAAGATCAACGTGCCTTGGACCGCGCTATCAAGCAGTCCACCATGCTCTTCGAAAAACGACGATTAGAAATATTGGGTGAGACCGGGAGCGATGCTCCGGAAACTACGACCGACGATGACGAGGCTGAGACAGATGGCGAATCTGGCGACGATGACGATATTGATGATGGTGAGAGTAATATGTCAACAGATACTGAAGAGGAAGACGGGAATGACAAGGAGGATGATGACGCGGGTCTTACTGCGGAGGAATTGCGATTGAAATATGCAAATTTACCGAATACTGGCGACAAACCAGGCCAAGTGTTTGCATATTCTGATGTGGAGACTGAAAACAGCGATGGGACAGATATTGATGATGCTCCTGGGGCTACCTACGAACCACTGCTCCCAGAGGACCACCAGTCAGGTGAAGTAGAACTCGATGAAATCGACCCGATGCTCATGGATGATAGCGGTGACTCAACCGATATGGATGATGACATGGGTGATAGCAATGACGAGGAATCAAGTGAAGCTGATTCGGAGGAAGATAATGGAAGGTCTGGGCTATTAGGATTTTTCTCAGCCAAAGATATAGCCTCCAGTGACCTCCATCGCGCTGTTTCGGATGACGATGATGGCATCACGACACTCCACGATGGCGGAAATGACGAGGAGGGTGAGAAGCATGCATCGTCTGACGAGGATGAGTCTGAATATGAGTCTGAAGACCCAGATGAAGTTACACTTGTTCCGACAGGGCCATCGAAAAAAGACCAAACCCTTCCAGCTACAGATTCAGCTTCTGCGGCTCTGGGAAGTCCAGTCGAAAACATCACGCCTGCGGAAAACAAAAACGATTTCCTCGGGGAGACCCTCTCCAATGAGAATGAAACATCCGCCGTCGATACCGCAACCATTGGGAACCACATCGGTCTTTCTGAGATCCAACGCATTGGCACTGAAAAGATGGACATATCTTCTCCTAAGAACTTGACTCATATCGACAAACCACCAACGTCACCTTCCACAAAAACTCTCCAAGAAAACTTCAACGATCAACCCAAAAATGCGCAACATGAACCATATCATAGTAGGGCTGCTTCCAGCGAAGCGTCTCCCGGAACGGTCGCCACTAAGCCCTCCGAGCCCGAATCAGTATCGTCATATGAAGCTGCAGCTGAGAAACACGCACAGGCAAGCGAATCGCCCGCTCCCGGGTTGAAGACGCCGGTGCCCCACCTTCTCCGGGGAACTTTACGAGAATATCAGCATTTCGGCTTAGATTGGCTAGCGGGTCTATATACAAATCATATCAACGGTATTCTTGCAGACGAGATGGGTTTGGGCAAGACTATCCAAACGATTGCTCTACTCGCGCATTTAGCCGTGGAGAATGAAGTCTGGGGTCCGCATCTTGTTGTGGTTCCCACAAGTGTCATTCTCAACTGGGAAATGGAGTTCAAAAAATGGTGTCCGGGTTTCAAAATCATGACATACTATGGAAATCAAGAAGAACGACGGCAGAAACGCAGAGGTTGGATGGATGACAACAGCTGGAACGTGTTGATCACATCTTACCAGCTGGTTCTACAAGATCAGCAGGTCCTGAAACGAAGGGCCTGGCATTACATGATTCTTGATGAAGCCCACAATATCAAGAACTTCCGCTCGCAGAGATGGCAAGCGCTGCTCACATTTAGAACGCGGGCTCGCCTCCTACTCACCGGAACTCCTCTTCAAAATAATCTTACTGAGCTATGGTCTCTCCTCTTTTTCCTAATGCCGACCGACGGTGACGAGGCGGGGATTGAGGGTTTCGCCGACTTGAGGAACTTCTCTGAGTGGTTTCGAAGGCCAGTAGAACAAATTTTGGAGCACGGTAGAGAAACAATGGATGATGAAGCCAAGCAAGTGGTGACGAAGCTGCATACTGTCCTGCGGCCGTACATCTTGCGTCGGTTGAAAGCAGACGTCGAGAAGCAAATGCCAGGAAAGTACGAACACGTCGTATACTGCAGGCTATCGAAACGACAAAGATATCTGTATGATGGCTTTATGTCCAGAGCACAGACCAAGGAGACTCTTGCATCCGGAAACTATCTGTCGATTATAAATTGTTTGATGCAGCTACGGAAGGTCTGCAACCATCCAGATCTTTTTGAAACTCGGCCTATTTCAACCTCATTTGCCATGCCCCGCTCAGTTGCGACACAATTCGAGATCAAGGAGCTCCTCGTTCGTAGGCGCCTGCTCTACCAACATCCGCTCGAGAAACTCGATTTCGATTTCCTCAATTTAGTTCCTATTTCAAGGGAAGACATCTCACGAAGGCTGGCGGATGATAGCGCCAGGATCATGGCCTACGCTCCTTTTAACACACTTCGCGAACATCAGTACCACCGGACAAACTGGCATATGAAATTCAACGGGACAACTGTACAATCCACCTTGGAAGCTTTGGAGAATGACTGCAGAAAGACAAGGATGGCTGAGTTAGAACGATTCCTATATTTCGAGTCAAAGCGCCATGGTCGTCGCCCAGTGTATGGGAGCAGCCTTATCGAATTCCTCACTGCAGATAGCAAGCAGCGGCCAACAGCCAACGGCCCGTTAAGGAAACGCTCATATGCTGATTGGTTATCAAGTCAATCTTCCGTTCTTGCGTCCATGATTATGTCTTTGGAAGAACGATCTCAGGTAATGGACGGGTATGTGCAGAGGTTTGCTTGCATTACTCCGGCAGCGATTGCGGCCGGGGTTACAGAAGCTGCCCTAACTCCAATCTCAACGCGACACCTCACAAATAAGGAGAGATTCCCGTGCCATGATCCTTTTCACGAGGCTCAAATGCGCCTATCCATCGCCTTCCCCGACAAGAGGCTTCTACAGTACGATTGCGGGAAGCTACAACGACTGGACAAACTACTCCGTGATCTTAAAGCTGGCGGCCATCGAGCATTAATATTCACGCAAATGACTAAAATGCTCGACGTGTTGGAGCAGTTCCTCAATATCCATGGTCATCGATATCTTCGTCTGGACGGCACGACTAAGGTCGAACAACGGCAAATCCTCACGGATCGGTTCAACAACGATAACCGCATCCTCGCATTCATCCTATCCAGTCGTTCCGGAGGCCTAGGTATCAATTTGACAGGCGCAGACACTGTGATATTCTACGACCTAGACTGGAATCCCGCAATGGACAAACAATGCCAGGACCGTTGTCATCGTATTGGGCAAACCCGCGACGTGCACATCTACCGCTTTGTCTCAGAATACACAATCGAGTCCAATATTCTCCGCAAAGCCAACCAAAAGCGCATGCTTGACGATGTTGTCATCCAAGAAGGCGAGTTCACGACGGACTACTTCACAAAGCTCGACGTGCGCGATATGATTGGCACCGATGAGGCTCTTACAGGACAGGACGAAGCGAGCGCAGCAATGGATCGCGTCCTTGAGAACAGAGTCACCAATACCTCGCGCGTTTTCGAACAAGCAGAGGATAAAGAAGATATAGATGCTGCTAAGAATGCTCAAAAGGAGCTCGAACACGCGGACGACGGCGACTTCGATGACCGCGTCAATGCCGCCACCGGTATGTCCACCTCCAGCCAAACTCCGGCTCAAGCAGGCACTCCCTTGTCTGATGAAGCGCGACTTCTGGGCGTCAATAAGCCCGAAACGGAGGATGCAGCGGACACGGAGCTGTCCCTAGGCCATATCGACGATTACCTCATGCGGTTTATGGAGTGGAACATGAAGGACGAACCGCTCGTACTTCCCGTTGATAAGAGCACGAAGAAGTCCAACAAGAAAGGGAAGGAACACCGTCTCCGAAAGAGACGACGTTAGTTTCTTTCTGCTCTCCATTGTAATTTTATCCCTTTGCGCTATTTTCTTTTTACTTTCTTCCACCAATGGTTCCGGTTCTCCTCTCCAGGTGGTATGTTTGACTAGTGTAATTTTGGACCTTTACTTTTGTTTCGTATTTTTATGTCATCCTTATTATGTCTACTTTTATTTTATTTATTTTATTTTTTTGGATCTCATCGCCTCAAGCGGCAGAGGCGAAGGCGGCAGTCAATATCACAGCAGCAACCTGAATGGGTACATTAGGCGCATAACAGGATTGGGTTTTGAGAAGTACCGCTAGCATAAAGCTTTCAGTTTCAATGCTACATGCGCCTCGCGATGCGACCATTTCTTTCAAAATTTTTCTTCCATGTTGGATACGCGACTTTTTTTTTTGGAGCAAGCAAGCGAGTTGGATGGTTGTGTGCGGAGTTTAGCACCTGTCTATACTTTATAGTACTTACCTATATTAAGAACCGATAACCTTCTCGGGATCTGAAGTCCATCATTTCGTGTTCTCCAAAAGCACTTGTTATCATTTATCAATATAAATGTATATTTCCCCAGTCCGGGGTGTATTATTTACGAGGTCAAGTCTTCATGATGACAAAAACTATCTCTTGTCGATGAAGGTTACCACAATGCTTTTGACCACTCCACTCGAGTCTCTCCTCCGTCGTCTCGCCATCCTATAACATGTCTGGATTCGTAAAACAATCCTGCGGGTCCCCAATCATTTACCCGAGAGTTCTTCCTTAAATCGATGGAGATAAAGATAAATAGATATGCCCGGAGTATACCTGGACGAAACTCCACAACGGAACCGAAAGGACTCGACGCCATCTTTTTTTCGTCCCCTCTTGTCCCTCAATCATTCCTGGTTCAATTCGCCTTGAGCAAGGACGGCCCTGTGGTACTTGTGAGATTCACAGCAGTCACAGACTCGCAGGATCTGTGGCGTCCCTGGAAGCCCAGGCGTATCGCGATCTCGGCGATTCGAATTGTGATAAGTGGATTCGAGTTCTTTGTACACCTCTCAGTAGTGCTGTGACCACCCAACCCGACAGATCGGCTGAAAGAAAACCAAGACGACCACGAAATCCAGATCGCTGAATTGGCACTCAGGCTCCCTGATTCGATATGAGTTCGGAAGTGCCGAGAAGGATATCCTTTCATTCTTCCACCCCGACAGCGAGATCCTCCTGCCTATTTGGGGACACGAAAAAAAAGTAAATTGCGCTGTCGGCCAATCGCTGCATGGGGACTGACGCCGACACGAGGTCAAGATCCTCCTAAGGATGCAGCTGCAGAGCGGGTTGTGTAACTGGAACAGCTCTGCTTGCTTCGTTTCACTTCGATACGTCTTGCTTAAGTGCCGGATTTCGATATCCAGCTTCCGTTCTTTGTCTCCAACCGTTGAAACATGGTAAACCAGAAGAGAGGGGCACGAACGCAAAAATGTACCATCAGGTCTCGGTCACCCTCAGCTCAACCTCCCCAGGTCCCACTGGCTACGAGGCTCGATCTGACTCCGGCAAGGCCGACACCCTATCCAAACTTCGCGTGTCGAATGGGATAGATTAGCTCACAGCATCGCAGTCGAGCTTCCCCCGCCGATCATCGCCATTTCAACTTGACGAACAAATGAATACGTCGAGGTTAATAACGTGGAGAACGACATCCGCGAGGCAACGAACGGAACGCGGATACGTTCCATAGATGAGCTCAAGATACTTCTGTTTGTTTCTGCGGAGCTATCTCTTTGTTATCTCGACTGGTTCCGCCTTCCCACCCTGCGATTCCTGCTTTGTTCTTACGAGCTTAGTTTGTAATTTCTTTGCCGGTCAGCTTGTTCATGAAACGGTTGCGCGGTCTGGATCTATCGCATTTGACCGGAAACCCCATGGATTGTAGGGGTTTGTTTTGGGGCTTAACCTACTTGGTTGCTGGAACAGAAGTCAGAAATGTCTCAATATCAACACCTCAAGCTCCTCTGTCAATGGGTCTGATTGACTGCGGCGATAAACTCTAAATCGCCAACAATGAAGGAGAAAAGCAGTTCTCTGTTGGAATATTCAGGTTTTGAATTGAAATAGGCTTTCGGTGAAGAACACACCATGTCACCAGAAGCAAATCTAACAATATACCATGCACCGTCACACGGTGGGTGATACAAAACTTCTGGCCTCCTCGACCTGCGGTTGCGAATACAACACCAGTTCCCTATCTGAGACAATGAACCCTAACATTTAGAGCAGTGTGCTATCCGGTGGCGAAAGCAAAACCGTAGTAGTCACCAGGACCTTTCGTATTGACCGCTGGGGGAGGACAGGAGTAAAGTTCGTACAAGTACGGTGGAAGGGCAGGGCAGAATAAGATTCATTTATGCGAAAGGACAGTTTGCTGGTATCAGGGCAGCCGAGGCTCCCCAAAATCGCACCCCAAGTGCTCCGAAGTGCTAATTAGTGCCAAGTATCATTCGGACGTAATTCTCGAATAATGTAAACAATGTCCCCTGATTCTCCCTGGAAACCAATGAACACAAGTGGAATACTTTTCATATTCCAGTCTTCCAATTTCTGCCCTACTATTGACATGCTTGTCGCACAGCATGCCTTGTTCCACCGATGAGAAACGCCACCCTTGCATTGCTTCGTGCCCTGCGACCACGCTGAATCTCCAGCTTTTATCTTGGATCATTCGCTTGATCTGCAGCGTATCGATATCTCCATATGTATAAACCTGCTAGTTTTGTCGGTTAATCGTGCATTAACCAGGCACCGGTGGGCTGAATCCGTCGCCTTCGGACACCGGTTACGGAACTGCAGTATATCATCCACATCTTTTGTTGCTCACGTCCGAAAGCCATGAAAGTGAAAATCTGGAAGAACATTTCATTTGCTGTCCAGGTTGTTGTTCGTACATGCAATCCGCAACCTGCAATCCACACGAGGAACGCAAAGTGGTCGATCGTAATGCTCACTAGAGTTTGTTCGAGAAGATCGGGGTCATCCAGCACCAGCTCTATCGTATCGGCCCTGAATTCCTGCTGAGAAGATAACAGGTGGACAATGTGCAGACTGCAGTGGCATGATTGATCTTAACCATCGCCACACGAGCCATGCCTTGCAGCAAACAAGACGACAACCTGATGCATCAGAAACCATGGGGAATGTAACCTTATCGGCTTAGGTCGCACAGAAATTGACTTGGGTCAGAAAAGAATGTATAATGCCTTTGTGTCGCACAGAGAGGATGAACGATGAGAATTAACATCTGGATCTCTTGATGACGATCGCAACGCGTAGGGGAATGGTCGCTCGCTCCGACACTTGCTGTGGTTGAACCATCGCTTAGGTGATGTGTTCTCCTTTCCCTGCAGTTATCGACTATTGTTTAATGTATGAATTGTTGACTATGCCATTGTTGTCTGTCAATGCAGAAGCTGAATCCTGCAGTCGAACTATCGAGGATCTGGAGTGGGTCACTGCATTGTACGACCCATCCAAGAAGCCACGGCTGTCGACTTAGTGAACAAGATCGGGCTATGTTACTGGAATTACTCCGTACTGGCCATTGGAATTCCTATTCTTCGTCCCACGAGAGAAGACAGCCCATGTCATTGAACCTTCTTGTTGGGTCCCGAGGATGACAAGGTTGGACCCGGCGGTAATCCTTCGCACGGACTGATGTGGGACGTGCTCTGTATGGGCTCTGCACGGAGCATCTGGTGGCACTCCACCGAGGCCATCAACAAGAAGACCTTAGTTTTGACGCTATTCAATGTCGGTAATTGGTGGTAAGGCGCCAAATGATGACACCTGTGGCCCATATCTCGTCGCAGACAAGGTGCCTGGAAGGTCTGTCTCTTATCATTTTTAATCAAAATGGTTGAAAGCCCCAGCGTTCCCGATGAGAAAGTAGCTTTATTTGGTACATTTTGTTTTTCGAGACTTGAATCGTGCTTAACAATAACCGGTGAGATTCTTCAAGTGTGTTTTGGTCCTTCCGGTCTAAGCGCGGTGGAAACATGGATGTGGCGAAGAATCTCCTCTGCAGATCAGCGTACAGCCAACGAGCCATCGACCAGCCACTGACCAGGGACATCGATGGTGGAAGATAATCCCGAAACGACTACAAACAAGCCAAGCTTTAATTGTGGAAAAGATAGACCTGGGCAACGAGGCTGGCACTTAGAAATAGCGGGCGAGAGGGAAACATCGACCGAATTTGGCTTTGTGTCTTAAAGTCTAGTGTCAAACTTCGGTCAAGAGGTTCTCTTTACGGTGTAAACTGACAGGTTGATCATCAGATTGCCGCAAATCGGGATTGCGGAGTGGAGTTAAGAAAAGCCCTGTGAAATTCCACCGCCCATTTTACCTGCAAGCGGAAGTAAGGTACGGAATACATTGCCCGTCGCTGCTGGGTATCTCCATCTGACGACAGTGCGGGAGCCTCTGGGCCTGTTACCCTCTCCATGCCGGCCGTCGCTGGATCCTTTTCGTTTCCCCGCGGCTTTAAATGTTCTTTCCGCAGTTCGAACACCTATCCGAGAGCAGTTCGGAATCTGCGCCAAGTACTCAACGAGGTTTAGCCGTACTAATACGATGGGGATCTTGTTCGCCTGTTGGTACTTGGTAACCAACCGACTGCCTCCAACTGAAGATCACGCTCGTTCTTTGCTTGTGTTTGACACTTTTTGATGCAAGTTACCGTTTCTTTCTCCCGTCGCTGGACATTGGTTGGGGTCTTGATGTCTTGTCAGAGTCAGATTTCGCCATGAGGAAATTATGGAAGATGAAATGACCTAATTGGACTTGACCCGACACAAGCAAAATGGATGACGCTAAAACGCTCAATCTAGATTGACTTGGATTTAAAAACGAACAAACCCATAAGCGAAGCGAATTAGACTTTTGGAAGGGGCACTTTTGAGAGATAGAGACATCTTGAATTTTCGGGAAAAAATGTAAGGACGACAGGGCACTGCTCAGCAGCTTCCAAATCCTGGCAGGACAAGACTCTCACCAACCCGCCAGTGGAGAGGGGTCAATCAGTTTGATATGGCCAGGGGGAAGGCAGAAAAGTATAGGTCAAATCGTACTATTGACGGGAGAGGGTCATGGCAGGCCAATGGGAAGATGCTCTGCACAGGCTGAAAAGGGGAAATTCGTCGCCGGTCACGGGGAAAGAAAGCAAAGGGCAGAAAAAGAAAACACAAGCAAGCGCCATCCTCGCACTGGAGAGGTCACAGAGGCTGTTTTCCGTCCACTGAGCCCCATGGCGTTGCTGTCATCGAGTGCATTACAATATTGGAAATCGATCATCCGATTGCGACCACTAGATCGACGTGAAAGATTTCCAAGACCGGGGTTTACGCACAGCCTGAGGTGTTCGTGAGGTGAAGGTTGGAAAGATGACAGGACCCAGGGCTATGGAGCGTGCTACCGGCGGCAGCAACTAAATGTTGTTGGCATCACCAATCATGACTCTTTCCTCATCACCGTTCGTTCCTTGGGCAGCTTCGTGCTAGTAGATCTCCCAGCTGCGCGGGCCCCTGTCCCCGATTCCCCATCGGTCGCCTGTTTTGACAGCACGAGATTACCTGTTGTCGCATTCCGCTTATTTCTTTTCATTGGGATCTAGCCAAGCGGCATCTAGTGCATTAGTTGAGCGGCCGGCCACGGGCCCGGTTCCTTTGACCACCATTGCTCTAGATCTTGCGCGGTCTTTGCTCCCGAGTGTGGCCAATTCCTCCTGGAGTCCTGTGTCTTTATTAGTCCCGTCTTGAATACATATATCTGACGTGCTCGTTTTCCCTCCGATCTGCATGCATCCTCTTTCTTCAAAAAGACCTTCTCTTCCAAGCTGTATCTCCCCCACCGTCATTTTTCAAATCGTTGCCTCAGTCTTTCGGTCAACGTCCTCGCGTTTGACTCTATTCTTACTTTCCTATTGGTTTAATAAACTTTCCTTTCTCGATTGTCCAAGCGGAACCAGGACGCTCAAAGATGAAGAATTCTGTTCCCATCCCGTCAGATGTGTGGGAGGAGAAAAAGGCCCTGATTTCTACTCTATATAAAGACGAAGAATGGCCATTGAAACAAGTCATCAAAAAGATACGCTCGGATAATTTCAATCCAAGGTGAGGCACTTGAGCCGTCAGCCTAAATAGCACACTAACGTCATCTTAGTGAGACTCAGCTACGAAGTAGACTTAAGAAATGGCGTGTCACCAAGCCCTCCCGTCAGACAAAAAAGAAGTCAGAAGAGACAACGAAATGTCTATCTCATGAGACGAACATTCACAAGCGCCATTCCAATAACAGCTCCCGCGAAACCCAACCTCGTTCCCTGCCACTGCCACTGCCATCGGCAACAGAAGCGGTCGTCACCGAGCAAGAGTGGTGTATAGCCAACAACGTATACGAAGCACCCGGTTCCGCGGTACCCAGTGGTGGCGAACGAGACATTCCCGCTGCCTGGGATCCCAATCCGAGTTATTCTTCACCCCAAATCTCGCCAGACAAGTCTCGCGTCGGCTCACATACTTCTCTGGCCATTACCACTCCCCCCTCATATGACCCGCCTCAACCATCACCCTTGATGGATGGTACCTTGCTCAATTCAACCCCTACAATGACACCTACATTTACAAATTCGCCTTATGCCTTGGGCGCTGACCACTCCGTGCCAACTCCTGTGTCAACAACTGCAGTTCCGGAAACCCAATGGGCGATACCGCAATGGTATTCAATGCCTATAGAGACGACCACAGAGGCCTCATCCATGCTTTTCTATACTTCAGGTCCTCTGACCCCACCAATCGACTCTATGGTGAACACAGTATCTCAGCAACCCGTATTGCAGATATCTGAGTCTCAAGGTGGACTGAAATTATGGAAGCCCACCGTTTCTGGTTCTTATAGCCCAGATTTGGTCGCCCAAATGAGCCAAAATGCACGACAGCTACCAAAATCACTGGAACAGGAGGTACAACACCCGCCAAAGATAAGCACCGGCCAACACCTAGGCGTAGTGGCCACGCCGACGTCTCCTTTCTTCCCTCATGGGTCATATTCTTCTTCCCTGTGCTCACCGGGCTATGCTTATCCTGGTCCTGAGCCTCTTATCCATCGGTCGAGCATTGAATTTTAGAACTTCTCGGTTTCTGAAGCAGCTTTCTGGCCTCCCCCCTCCCTCAGATGCCTTATTCTCAGCAATTGTTGTACGTTCAGCTTCTCTGAGTGTCGCATACAGCGTCAGCAGGCTTTTCGGCCACCATCTGCATTCGATATTTACATAAGACTTAGGGGTTGGTTTTTTGTTTTCATTTTCTTGATGTCCCGGAGTTGGGGGGTCTTGTGCGCGTAAACCGGGATGCAGCGATACTATCAGCATGGAACCGGTTTGGAAAGAGGGCGGTACTAGTAATGATTTGAAAACTCTCGGGCTCGCTTACTCTTGCATAACGGTGTAAATTCACTTCGTATATGAGCCAGTACATAGGTACTCAGTCTTGTGACAGGTCATATTTTGTCAAGGATAGACATGTTTTCTCGGGATTAAATTCCGGTCGAATAGCAAACTCCCGTGAGTAACGTTGTCACACTCGCCTCAATGAGCATATCGCATGTATCTAGTGTACATGACATAGATAAACACCATGTTTTACTATCAGCTCTCAGATATCTGGTCCTTGATAAAATATATAATGAAATGGTATGGTTATTAGTAATATAGACATGGCGGCTTTCGGTAGCTTATCCGACAACCTCGGCATCATGGTCCTCCTCAGTCGCCTTGCGGGGAACGCATCAGACGGAGACCTGTCTCCAAGTTTCTTCAATCCCGATTCAACAGTAGTGGTATAAATCCCATAATCCCACCTCATCTTTGTTTCATTGATTATCTTCTTCCTTGAACGGTAATTTCCCTCCTTTGGCAGTTTCCAATTCACGTCGTCATGCGCGCTATCCAAGTAAAGGAATATGTCAAGGCAAGTCCAGACATGCACCCTTTTTATAACCCTCGGCAAAATGAATCAAGGAACAAAGTCATTAACAAGTGGATTTAATCTACTTAGGGTCCTCTCGACCTCACCGTTAGCACCCTCCCAACGCCTTCCCCGTCTCCCTCTTCTTACCTCATCGAAATCCACTCCGCGGGAACAAACTTCTTCGACCTGCTCCAGATCCGAGGCAAATACCAACACCAACCGCCCCTTCCGTGGGTCGGGGGGGCCGAGTTCGCAGGTATAATCGCCGCTCTCCCAACTGAAGGTGGCCCATGGAAATATAAAGTCGGCGACCGCGTGTTTGGTGCCACTCAGGGTGCATATGCTACGCATGTTCTTGCGCCTGAACAGACCCTCCTCCCCGTACCGGCGGGATGGAGCTTCGAGGACGCAGCAGGCTTGTTCGTCACAGCGCCGACATCGTATGGCGGGTTAGTGCACAGGGCTAAAGTGCAGCCTGGCGAGTGGGTGCTTGTTCATGCCGCTGCTGGTGGGGTTGGGCTTGCTGCTGTGCAGATTGCGAAGGCACGTGGAGCGACGGTGATTGCAACGGCTGGGACGGAGAGGAAGAGGGAGGTCGCAAAAGCATTTGGTGCGGACTATGTTATTGATTATCGGGATAAGGCATGGCCGGAGCAGGTGAAGGGGCTGTGTGCGAAGACTCGGAGCGGGAATGGGAAGGCTGGTGTGGATGTTGTTTATGATCCTGTCGGTATGATTGATGCGAGTTTGAAGTGTGTAGCATGGAACGCAAGGCTGTTGGTGATTGGGTTTGCGGCAGGGAATATCGAGAAGGTTGCGCTGAACCGGGTCTTGTTGAAGAATGTTAGCATTGTGGGCTTGCATTGGGGCCAGTATGCACGGTTTGAGACGGAAACAGTAGGTATGGTGTGGAAGGGGATCTTTGATCTGATTGCGCAAGGGAAATTCAAGGGCACGGCCTTCAAGGATGAGAGCTTTATTGGCTTGGGAAGTGTTCCTAAGGCTTTGCAGGCACTCGGCGGAAGGGAGACATGGGGAAAGGTGGTTGTCCAGGTCATCGATGATAGGGGTAGCAAGCTGTAGATTACGTTTTTCCTTATACGAGAGGCAATGATTGATTGGATTCTTAGATAAATATAAATTTTTCAGACGAATATGTGGTGTAGGTGCGCAAGGAGTCATGCCCTCGTAGGAATAGGAAAACATGAACTATGAAGGCCCTTGATTTTTCTCGCAACCTTGAACCATTCTAAGTTCGAACCGAGACGGTCCAGCAAATCCAACTCCGTTCAGGCACAGCCACAAGACGTGGCATGTGTTGACCGTCCTTCACAAGAAGAGCCCGTGGCTATGTCTGCCTCCATAAGTCCGCGGACCATAGGAAAAAGCTAACAGGGACAGTTGGATTATGCGGTTGCCAATGCAGATCGGACGAGTGAAACGTTCATCATCGGGCTGCTGGAGTATTGAGGTAAGAAGCATGGCGTATGACGTCTGTCGACTACATCATGAATAGAAGACAGATCATAGCTATGTGCTTTCAAGTGTTTGCGTTGAAAAACACGTCGGAGCTGCAGCTGTTGCTCCTGCGTCAAGTTTGATTGTTGACGGGAAAATCTCTCTGTGGGTGAGCAATCCGTCAGTTATTTTGCACTGGTGGTTTATATTAGTCATCAATGTTTCCAGCACGTGATCTACGCAATATCCACAACTGAGCAAAATCTTAAACAGGGTGGCCAACACCCTCGTCTTCCGCACGGTCGAATTAGTACGGTCTAATGATCGGCCGTCAAGTTCTCGCACAATATGACCCTATTCGACAAGACTGCTGCTTTCTTGAAGGAAACGGGCAAGACGTATCTGACATATAATGGTTATATGCGCAAGGCAATGAAATGCTGCGGTTTGACCTGGAGGTGGTGCCCGAGTGTGGCTGTGTCAGCGCATGCAGGGCCGTTCAATCAGCAGCCCTGCAGCCCCATGGCTCAGTCTGCACCTGCCCACATGGACCCTGAAGATTGCAAAAGATGAAGTCATCATGACCTTTCACCGGCCTGTAATACCTCCGTCTCTTAGAAAAACTTTCGTATTTCCGCTGAATTGGAGAGTCTATGGCTCTTGGCAACTAAAATCCACCCGAGAATTATTGGACTTACACCTGAGACAGAGTTTTGATGAAGGCTTATTTTCCAGGGCAGTGCTCGGCCTAAACTTTTCTTTCTACCAGGTCAAAGCCCCAATATAAAGACGACTTCTGCAACCCTACCTGTCTGGTGAATTATATCTTTGAAGTACGGGGCGCTTGGCTCTTTAATACAAACGTCTATTTTCTGTTTTTTACCACAAAGAAAAGGGCCTATATCAATCGGTTTCGCAAAATCGTAAACCCCTTTTTATCACCCGCACGACCTCGTCATCTCAACTTGCCATAGCCATCACTACTTGGGATACTATCGTCATATCTCTCAGTCAGTTTCTCGCGGCCGTTGAAGCTCCATAATGAAGGTCACCATAGCATCTGCTATTGCACTTCTTCTATCCACAACCGTCACCTCCGTCGCGGTCCCAACATCAGACATAGCCAATCGCCATAGCGATACCATCGCACGCTCCCATGAAGTCTTAGAGCTTGAGGGAAGAGATCTGGAGAAGCGCCGTGGAGGTGGTGGAGGTGGCAGAGGAGGTGGCGGTGGGAGCGGTGGCGGAGGAGGAGGACGTGGCGGAGGAGGAGGCAGCAGCAGCAGCAGCTCAGGCGGTCGTCCTTCCAGTGGTAATCATCCCGCAACACGTCCAGGGTCAACCAGCTCGACTAGTAACCGGGGTGGCACATCGCCTGGCGGATCTGGGCCGCGACCCTCGTATGGGCGTGGTGGTTTCTACGGCGGAGGTGCTGTCGCTCCTTATCAATCGGGTATCCGCTCGCCTTTGGGTGTCGCCCCCTTCTTCTTGCCCATCGCTGCTCTTGCCTTCTTCCCAGGGCTTTGGCTATATGGAGCACACGTTTACCCATACGACCACCATTACCATTATATCAACGACACAAGCAATAGGAACGAATCGCTGCCAGTTATCTGCTTGTGCGGTGAATATGCGGAGTGCGGCTGCGATGACAACAACAACAGCACGTACTATGAATCGTTGTTCAACGGAACGCAGCCTAAGAACGGCAGTATCGTTCGGGTCACGGACGTCAATGGCACGCAGACGATAGTTATCAACGGTACCTTGCCGAATGGTACGACAGTTGACGACGCAGCTGTAGACTCAGCTGCTGCCGTGTCGATAATCCAGGCCAGCGGGTATTGGGCCATGACCGCCATCGTTGCAGGTGCGGTCTATACTTTGTGATGCCGGTGCGACCTTATTTTCTGAGCTTTGCTTTTATTTTTGTTTTTTGAGGGAGGCAGTTTGGTTGACCTTCTTGATACCCTGTTACGAGTTATAACTGTCCCTTATTATTCTTCCGAGATTGATCACAACGATATCGGTTTGCTATCGATTATTGAGCTTATCTTAGATTAGGCATGCCTCATCAAGTAGTAATTATTGGTCATGCGTTTTTTTTTTGTTTTTTTTTTCAATAACAAATTGTCTTTGTTGCCTGAATTTCAATTGTGTATACGCTCCTATATAACTATACAATAGTAGAGTGGAATGCACGGTAGAGGAAGGAAAAGCCTGTCACAATTTATGAAGAATCTTGATACCCACCCCCCTTCAACAGTTATTCTCATCTGTAATTGGACGAGCGTGGAATTTGCCCAAACTCCGAAGATAAAGATTCTCGGCGATCCCCAGAATTAATTAAACTTACTGTGGAACATGCCCACTACGTACAGAGTCGTGGAGAACAAGATCAATCAACATGGAGTGATGAACTCTGTCCCTGATGAACCGTGGAGCACATGGAACTTGTATTTCGCTACTGCCAGCAGCATCACCAGAGCAAAAAGCTGAGGTCGTCTTGGAGCCAGAGAAAATCAACCAGAACACATTCGGATTATCCCCAGCATGAAACACCCCAATAAATGCAATTCCGGAATTAAATCACGCTCGATGGGTCCTGGGAAATTGAGCAACGTAATGTTCCGCTCCCTAACCTTCAACACTCAGGCACACTTCCCCATCCTGCACACAATAGAGCCAATCGAGCTTGCGGAGGAAGGGCTTTATTTCAGCGAGCAGGGAACAGGAGACTTCTGCTCCTTCGTCTTTAGCCTACCGCCCATGGAAACACAGAAACGCTTAGCCCGGACTATGGAGTCTACCTCCGAAAGGCCTGACGCCAGACAAACTCACACTAAGGTGTCACTAACCGACCTTTACTCGTGCTAAGCTGCCCCGCCAGCGCGACAACCCCCTTTTCATCTGATTCTTCGGCCTACTAGTAATAACCTTCTCCTCCTGCTCCCAGCTTTCCTCACTTCCATCCAACTCTCGTTGTCGTCGCTCTTCCTTTCTTTCTCCCACACGGGCTGCCGCTCTTTCCAGTCCCATTCACTCTTTGAATACTTGCTACCAATACCCCTCAAGCGACGAATCAACTGTCAATCTTTCGTTCTATAAACGACGATAAACCCTTCATAACAAACCCGATTAATCAACCTTAATCGCAACCTCTATCAAAATGCAACTCCTCAAGACTCTCTTCGTTGTCAGCGCCACCGTCGCCCCGGCCCTGGCCGCTGTCGCAAACGGTGGAGCTGGTGAAACCGAATCTCTCACCTCAACCCGCACCACAACCAACACTGTCACTGTGCATACCTCCACCACCTCAACTCCAGCCTTCACCCCAACCAGCACCCCTGTCATCAAGGCGGCCGCTGCCACGCCTGACTGCAGCACTTTCATCAGCGAGTCGGTTTACTCCTCCACCATTGCGGTGCCATCTTCGTCGATTCCAGTCATTCCCAGCGCTGCCTCTAGCTCTGCGTCTGCGTCTGCGTCTGCGTCTGGAACCGCCACCGTTTCCGCTTCGCCTTCCCCCTTCACTGGTGCTGCTGTTCCTGGCGCGAAACTTTCAAACGCCGGCATCGTTGGTGCTGGTCTGGCTGCCATGGCTTTCATGCTCTAAATGGAGCTGTAGGCTAGTCGGTTTTGGGAAATTAGCTGGGGGTTGGCAATAGGAGTCGCTGGTTACTAGTCACTCGGTACACGACTTGATTTCTCTTTCTTATATATTTCTCACTTATTCCCTTTCTTATCGGGTCTTGTGTTTGCGGTTTGTTCCGTTCCCTTCGGGTTAGTATGGTCGGGAAGGAGCATGTACATATAGATCGGACCTTCTTCCTACACTTCTCTGATTTGGTATATCCATTTTTGGGCCATGACGGTCTCTTTTTTAATGCACGATACGTTTTTTACGACAACGTTGTAGCCAATGCAGTGTAGGCTTGAGTTATCATAATATCTGGCTACAAAGCCTTTTCAATGTTTGCATTCCGAAAATGGATCATTAATTTATTTGCGCTTCGAATAAGTCTGGTGTACGCTCATCCAGGCGCCATCTAGGAAGTACTTTTCTTTAGTTGGACCTGCAGGTCAAGGGCAATATTCCATTAAGAGAGGCGCAGCCGGGCGCAGCACCTAGAAACTGGCTCAATAGTGGTAAACAACACATCATGTGTTGCCAGATAACAGTGTATGAAAATTAACAACGAACGTAATCGGGGTATAGTGCAGTAGAGAAATGAAGAAACGGGCATTATCTGACACGGAGAGCAAAGGAGCGCCGCTGGGATTGGTAATCTTTAGACCAACACCTTGTATCGATATGCCACGTCAGACTTAAGTAGATAAAAGCAGTATTGCGAGGTGTGATCCGGGGACAACGATTCGATCGTAACAGTTCAGCAGCATCCTGGTCGCTTCCTGTTGTGTGATCCGCTGAGTCTGAAAACGTCTTCCCACTCGCCCATACCCGTCCTCCAGTTACCTCCACCGCCTCGTCGCCTTGTATTCCTCCGGTGGAGTTGGACAGCACTGTCATCAAGTGTCATCTGGCTTCTTATGCTTGAAGCATCACTCGTCCCATGGCCATAAACACCCCCATCTCCATATTGAATACCACTTTGCGGGTCATCGGGGTCGATCTCTCCGAGCTCAATTTTCGTGAGTATGATGCGCGCAAGTCGTTGAAAGAGCTCCTCTACGCCGTCCCCTGTGAGAGCAGAGACCTCAACGACAGCCGGAATATTAGACTTAGCAGCCCAGTGCGAAGCTTCTTCAACACCGACTTCGCGACCATATGAAGCATGCGTAGCAGTCATCTTGGTACCCGCCCCCATATTGCTCGAACGAAAGGAACCAGCCACAGAATCATATGGAAACGATGACTGTCGGCTAGACGTGCTGGACGGGGTCATGGGGGGTCGCATTCCATCTTCGTGGTAGTCTCCATTGGAGAATGACTCATTTGTAAGATCAGCCTTATTCCCAGCGAGGAGGACAGTGAGATTCGGAGACGCGAGAGCTCGCGCATCCATTAGAAAGGTCGGAAGGGAGGAAAACGAGGCCTGGGATGCGACATCGTAAATGAGAATTGCCCCCGCAGCTCCCCTGTAGTAGGATCTTGATACAGATCGAAACCTCTCCGTCCCAGCAGTATCCCAAAGTTGTAGTTTGATCCTCGTTCGTCGGGGCCCGGTGCCTAGTTTGACGATTCGAGAGGAGAACTCAACTCCGATCGTTTGCGACGATAGCACTCTCCCTACAGGAGCACGGTGTATTAGCGAGCCGATTTATCCAGCTCTGGGCAGCCCAGAATGGACGGGCTCAGATATGAGATTTCGGAGCCGTACATTCGTTCTTGACAAATCGGTGGAGCACACAGGACCTGCGCGGTGTTGGGGGCAATTGTGAGTACAGGGCTTAGACTCCGGGGAGAGGAAACTCACTTTCCGGCACCACTAGGACCAAGAAGAATAACCTTGGCTAGATAATCATACATGCTCTCCAGCTCCTAGTCCGAATTAGAATAAGATGTTTGAAGAACCACCCCTCGAGGGCAGCTGATTTCAAAAACAGTATCACTTCAGACGTACCTGGTTTCGTTCCGGCAGGGTGGAAATCGAAGACGCAGTTGAATGTCCCCTTTGACGTGCCATCGTGTCAGGCTCCGACCATTAACGGGGAGAAAGGAGTGCACAAGAGAGGGGCTGGGGGAGGGAGAAAGCGAGGGGGTAGGCTTTTGAAAGTTGCGGGTGAGCTGTTCCTCACTATTTTATCCAAAGCAGACCTCCCTCCTTAACACGGGGCCGCCCAGTCCGATAGTGCATCATGGTACTCCACTATAGTATCCGGCCCGATAACCATCAGTTTTACTTTCAATATGCCCCTACATATTCACTTAAGTCGGTTCCCCTCTTTGTTGCGATAATATCGACTTTTGCGCCCCAGGCGCGAGTTTAGGAAGTTTAGGAACCGAGGCCGAGCGCAAACCACATGCAATATTGATATCAACTCACAGGTGGCTACGGTATGTGTAATAATAGCCAAGAATTATTATTTTACTTTTAGCACTGTTCGTCCATAACTATCAATACGAAATGTCGTGTTCTCCATCATGGCTCTTCTATAATGGTAAAATATGGTAGTTTCGTCACATAAGGGGGCTTTTGCGCTTAAGCTAAAAGAAAATGGCTTATCATCAAGAAACACTTGAATACGTGAATACAGATTATGATTCAGGTACCAGACAAAACAACTTCATGTGCAATTAATGGTGCCTCTGACGCATTTGAACAACGGTAGTCCACCCTTGGCAACATTGCTTGCTCATACGATGCTCGCACCAGCAACAGTTGACAGGCCCAGATGGTAGGTCCGCTGTTACACGTGTGCGTATTGATCTTCGCTGAGTCTCAGACCTGGGTGACTTCGCGGGTGATTCGTGCAGCGGGCGCGCCTCTTTCGTTGAGGCAGTCAGTCTATCAGGCAAGGCATTCTGATCCCAGGCAGCAAGCTCCTGGTCAAGAGCCGCTGACAAGGGATCAGAAAGCGTAAGACTCGCATATACTTCCGATGGCATGTCATGCCAAAATTTGCATCTGCAACAGATTACAAAGAGCTTCGCAACAAGCTGATCCCGTCCAATTTGCCTTGCCTTTTTGCTCATTCTCTTCATGTCCGCTTTTGAGCAGGATGAAATCGCTGGTAGAGGGCCACCGTCAGGCTCTGACAAAATGTTTTTCTTCGATGCCGCACGCGTCTTACCTGCTGCACGTATCTTTGTGGGTGCAGATAAGTCACCACGGTCCGAGGTTCTCGATCCGGCAGATGCAGTTTCATCTGCAGTGTTGTAGTCCGACTCGGAATCTTGAGAAATGCCAACTGATTGGCTACTCTTTGGCCTCATCCTAGTTTCGGGTGCCAAATCTGGAGACTGTGAGAGAGTCCGGCTGGTTCGCTTCGGGCTCTTCGGGGGTACCGTGGGAGACAAATCTCGTTCCCGGCGTGGAGGTGACAGAGTACCAATCGCCTTAGGTTTTCCACCGCAAGGGCCTGTCACTTTGTTTAGTGAGTTGTAGAAGCGCGGCTTTGTTAGTGGTGCTGATGGAGCTGACTGACTAGGTTTTGAAGTCGGTATCCTGCTCATAAAGGGTCGATCATCCGTTCCTTCTGTCACTGATGGTTTGACTGTAATACTTGGGGGTGCATGGATTGTTCTCTTATCCGGTAAACTTGATGTTTGCAATACATTAGGAGAGCTTGCCATACTCAATCTTGACGATGCCACATCCTCGGCACGACCGAACTTCTGTTGTTGCGCTTTTTCGGAAATCTGGAGGCTCACTAGAGCTGTCGCTCTTTTCGGAGCAGACAGCACACCATCACCGTCGATTGTTTGTGACTCTGCTAGAGGAGAGGACTTGAACTTCTTTTGATGTTGCTGTATGACTCCATCCGTGGATGTTCCCACTAGCAAACCCCTAGGCGAGCCACCCCATGGGACTGTGTTTGAATTGTGTTTTAAAGTCGCGTTATTTTCATCATCCTGGGGCAGATGACGGGAGTCGGGGGATTCGTTTTCAATTTTGGGATGCGCGGTCTGGCCCATCTTCGGGACTTCTCCGGATTGTGAAAGTGCTACGCTTCGTTTTTTAGAGGTCAAGCTTGCAGTAAACATTGCCTTGTCTAAATCCGTCGGTTGGTTGTGAGCACCCTTGATTTCTGGAGTCCTCAATTCAAGTTGCTCTTCTTGGTGTATATTATTTCTTGGGATTGCGCCGAAGGCGTAAGGAGTCATGTCTTCTCCATCTCGGATCGTTTGCTGGCTGGGAGGGCCATTTGCAGAGTCGGTGCCTGTTTCTAAATACGAAAGCTTCAGAGAATGCGATGACTGCTCAGGTGACGCAAGTAATGCGGTTTTCCTTGCAGCTAGCTCTTTAGATATTGCTGTGTTCAGTCGTTCGGGCAAAGTCGAGGACAAAGCTGGAAGGGCGTCTACGTTCTCAATCGATGGGGTTTCTTCACGACCAGTAAACCGAACCCTGTCGACCCCATCTATTGAGCTCGAGCGAGACCTAGACCTTCGTCTCGAACTTGAAAATATAGAAGAAATTCGAGAGGTGGGGCGAGATCGTGATTCATCACCACTCACACTTGATGACCTACTTGAACTCCCGAAGGGCTGCTTCTTAGTGAGTCTTCGGGATTCTCTTCTCAGGACTGAGACATCTCTAGTGCGTTCAGCCTCTTCCAGTTTGAGCATCCGCTTCTCGAGCTCTAGTCTCTCTGCTTCCAGGCGCTTTGTAGCCCGCCTCTCTTTCTTTTCGACAACAGAGTGGCTCACGTTGGGAGATTGGTCGATATCCTGCGTTTTCAATGCACCATTCGCTGTTAGAGAATCTTTCACTAATTGATGCGACTCCAGCCGGAAAGATTGGGTCGAAGAGGGCCTTGATTCCGAGGTGTTCAAGCCGGTGGCTTTTGAATTCGATGACGAATATGAATGACGATTGTACCCGGTAGAGCTGACATCGGACGGTCCATAATTTGTATATTCGATAGGGCCACTGCCCCCAACCGTTCGTACAGAGCGGTTTGGTTTAGATGCAGATGATACCACGACGTCTGTATTATTGAACGGGTCCTCGTCACTGTTACTTTTTCTTGCCTTTCAACGCTTAGCACCAGACACACCAATTTTCATTCCCACCACAAAATGTATACGACTTACATCATCTGGTTTGTCCTTATGGAACATTCGCTGCAATTGTTGCGTGATGGAAGGCCTCCGAGGCCGGCGGTTTTCGCTACTCGATTCGATAAGCACCGGCATCTTGACAGCCGCAGATTAGACAGTGGCGTAAGAGTCGGCCTAAATTTCAGAAACAACTATCCATGGTCATAAATAGTTAATTGAGAGAACGAACGAAAAAGAGGTTTAGTTTGCGAATTAGAAAAGAGTCCTCAGTGAAAGAAAAGCAGGGTCGCACAGCACCCTGAAGAGCGTGGCATGGAAATCTTAGAAAACGAATCGCCATCGCAACGGCGGAGCCTAGAGTTTTGTACAGCTCAAATCATATGTGCACTGGTCACATGAAGGTGAAACCTCAAGCGCCGGGTTAGTAAGAGGTGAGAGATGAATAACGAGCAATCCTCATTCTCGTACAAGCGCAGGCAGAACTGCCCAACCAGATATAGTCAAGTGCCTCACCAGGTGCAGTCGAGCTGCATATGCAGCCTAAAAATACACCCCGGCTCCCATCGATCATCAGCCAAGGGGTGTACTTGAGGCAACGAGATCGGACAAAGAACAAACAATAAATTCGAGACTCGCCCGGTAATTGAAAGCCGACCTGGGGTTGTATAGGCATATGCAGTCAGAGGGAGATTACGGAGTACCGAGCTTGAGCATTGGATCGTCGAGGCAACTCCAGTCTACGGCTGACAGTTCCACAGGAACGATCATACTGAATGACCGATGCCTGGTGGAATCATCAGATCGGTTTTGGCTGATCTCATTATTACTCGTTAGAGTCAAACTTCTGAGTCCCCGAAACACCTGAATGATCCTGGTCTCTTTGTGGAATGAAAATTGAAAGGCTTATTTTGAGTGTTTGGTGTTGTCTAGAATAACGCACAGCCACACTTTCAAATATATATAAAGTCAAAGCCCGATCTCGTAAAACTCCTACCGCCCCACGAACCAAAAGGAACCAGTGGGAAGATCTCACAAAACGCAAGGGATAGCAAGTTTAACAAGAACTTCCATTTTAGACTCCACCCCCATTAATTACAGGATAGCACCAATCCTCCATATGGCGAACAAAACCTACCCCCCGCCACCCGGGCCACCACCTGGCTTCGACAATTCAAACCCTCCTCCTTATCACAACTGGCAAGAGGCAGTGCCCGATACAGCAGAATTCCCCCCTCCACCGGTATCTGGCAACTATCACTCCAATACAGGCAATGCCTCCACCAATGATGCAGAACGCGCGCATGAGTTTTGTAACAACACCCCGCTGTATCACCCCGCTTACCCGTCTGCTGTTGTATACAACTCTGTCCAAAGATATGACATCGGGCCGGTACCACCAGCTGAGTTTGGGGGTAGCATCTCCAAGCACCACAATCGCTGGATGGGATACACAAGAGATAGGAGCAGCGATTGCATCTTACTAACAAATCTGCCTCTCTACTTCGCATTGGCAGATTCGCCATTTATCACGGAGACGCAGAAAACTATCTACTTCGAAGTCAAACTACTTGGCCTACGGGGTGGGCCTACACCGAACGATGATAGCGGCCTGTCTATCGGGTTCGCGGCACAGCCATACCCCACTTGGCGATCCCCGGGCTGGGAGAGAGGAAGCATTGGTGTCTTTTCAGACGACGGGTGCCGTTTTGTAAACGATTCCTGGGGCGGGAAGGACTTCACGGATGCGTTCAGGGCTGGCGACACCGTGGGACTTGGGATGAGTTTTCAGCTCCCAGAGAGCACAAATGCCCCCGGTGCCTCACCGTCCACCACAAATCTCGACACCAGTGTCTTTTTCACTCGGAACGGTCAGCGTGTGGGTGGTTGGGATTTGCACGAAGAGGTAGACGAGGAGGCCGGTGGTGTCCGTGGGCTAGAGGGCCAGCACGATCTTTACCCTGCGGTTGGTTTGTTTGGTGGTGTTGACTTTGAGATATCTTATCACCCTTCGAGCTGGTTGTTTCATCCCCAGTGACCTAGCCTTGGCACTTGGTAAAGTGAGAACACAAACCACTGCCTTGTAACAATAGAGGAGATAGTAGAAAATCTGCCACAGAGTTTTCTGTCCTTACCCTTGCCTTTAGTTCTCAGTACTCAGTGTGCCGCCATGCTTACCATATCAAGATTATCTTCCTTTCTAACTACACAAATTATTTTTGGGCATAGACCATTTATGGGCCAGGAGAAGTTGAGTCCAAGTCCTTCATAGTGGATCTAGATTTGTCTGATCACTACATGGTTGAGAGCTAGAAACTGCTCCGTGGTGGCCTTTCCATTGCCAGGCCCGGGAATCTTCCTCGACGTGGTGGTATAAATAATAGCACATCTTCATTTGAACCTACTGAGTAGCGGGGCTGCTACTAACAATATTTCAACTGGCAATAGAAGCTGCGAAGCTTAAACCCTGCTTTCGTATTCATCATATGCTAGGGTCGATCAGAATACCTGTGTATTAAGAGATCTCAAGGTGAGCAAACGGACTGCCAGTGGGCTGCTAGGCAGTTAACTTAGTGGGCTGGGATAAAGAAGGCCATGATAAATCAATTCCTATTAAAAGCAGCACTGATTAAATTGGTTTTTGGTGCTAAGCGCGTATGCTGATTTTATTATGATACTTGACGGACCCTTAACCGGCGTGGATTCTCTTAGGGCCAATCTCTGAGCACCGAAGTGCCTGTTATTATTGCATGTTGAATCTAGAACTGCAGACACCTATTTTCTATTAAGGTTGCGAAGTACCGCTCACACCAAGTGGCCCCTAGGATGCATGACGAAGCTGTCAAAACCCAATTTACTGTCTTGAGCATACCTTTGTATGTAACAAGTCTGCCATCATACCACAGTCGGAAATAGTAATACAGGACTAACCATCCATTAGAGGTTTGATACGCTAGATCCCCACAAGTAATACCGTTTAGTGGAGGGCTCCACTCTAATATAGAGAGTAGGCGGGAAGAAAGAGAATGAGTGGAAGGAGGTGTAGAGATATGGTAGGGTGACGCGTGCTGCGCCATTCTCGAAAATGGGCTCGAGATTAGCCAGGATATTCCCTGCCGATCCTATTCCGGACGCTGGGGATAAATAACTAACTGTACATTAGTGCTTCGGGGGGAAGCATAAGGTACAGTTCCGGGCATGGTTCTGAGAGAACTGTCAGTTCCTCACTGGCATGCAGGTGCGGTGGGCATGTTAAGACGCAGCGGTCATTGGCATTTTGAGACTCTTGACGTCATCGTTTAATCTGCGTCTCTCCTGGCACCCGTCACCTTTCGAGCATGGAGGTGAAGGATTGAGACTTGAGAGGATCCGAACCTGACAGACTCGGCAACAGAAGGAAAAGGATCGCCCGTCTGTACCATGCGATACACGGTTTCTTCGATAGCGACAGAGGAGCCCACACCGTGCTAATCACGATTTGAGAGATTATTAGGCCTAGGCATTTGTTGCAGGACAGGATCAGGTTCTAGACCTGCACGTGCTGTTGGTACTCTGAGAGAACAAGCTGATCGCTAGCAGATCTCAACTCTGGAAGAGCGTGTCCAGGCTCCGTATTATTGGACTCTACAAGATCTTACCATTGCCTCCATTTTGATCTGTGCTACGATTTTTGTAAAGAGTGATGCAGTTAAGGTTCCGTGTTGTATGTTCATTTCCGGTTACTGGCAAGGAGTGTATCACGTTAAGCTCTAAAGGAAGTATGTGTATAGCCGAGTACTTGGCATAGCTGCCGAGGTGGCATAGATGCACGTTGTACCTGCGTTTACACTTCGACTACGCGTACAAGTGCATTCGAATCGAATATTTCCCCTCGGGGTTCAAACTGATGCGAGGAGGCCTATAGAAAGCTCCGGTTTAGAAGTTGTATCATTCAGTTCAACCAAGATGGTCAAACCAGAATACGGGTGTGAGCAACGCCAGGTACAAGAACTTTGGAAGGTAGCCGGCGACCTGAGCGAACCCGAACTCGAGGGAAAAGAGCCACAGGCTTCTTGGAGAAAGTGGCTAGAGGAGCGAACAAAACAAGAGCGAGTGAGTTTGAGCACGGCTATGAGGTGCAGTAGCGTTGCAGTAGTGTAAGTCCGGGCCAGATGGTTCTGGAGGCCTGCTGATTGTTGCCGCTTTGTGAGGATCACCGAGGTGAAGGTATGATAAGCTGGTCGAGAAAATCAACCGCCGCCGGCCCTCGGTGGGGTTCCGCCGGACCTGAATATGTACTTGACTCAAGGGTCGAGACTGACGGGGAGGGACGGTAGACCCCCGTTTTGCGAGGTTGTGGCAGTGACATGGTCCGGTGCAATTATTCCGAGTTTCTGATTAACCTCTGACACTCGGATTAATTGGCAGCATCTGATATTTGCAGAAGTGGTCGAGTACGGGGAGTTGGGAAACAGATGGAGCGAGGTATTATTCCTTATCGAGTACGGAGTGCTATTGGAGGCAGACTGGAACCCCAGCTGCATGATCCATGAAGGGGGCAATCATTTCCTTAATTATTTCCAATTCGCTGGGAACGGTTTACGAGGGGCGGACTCGAAGCACTCAAATTGTTGGCAAGGTACTTAGTTTCCCAGCCTGTCTGGAACCTCCACGCGGCGGTACAAAGACAGGGCCGCCGTCGCCCCAGGTTGTCTTGCCACGAAGTCGTCGTCAGGGAGCGAACTAGAAGTTCACCTGTTCAGGCCCCATTTGAGTTTTCGAGACTCGAAAGACTGCTTCCTTAATCGGCCAATTCCGTCGACGGGTTCCACCAGGTATGGGCGGCTGGCGGAGGCGCCGACTCCCTCCCTAAGGAAGGAGCACTTCGTCTCCACCACTAAGAGAAGTGCACTTGGTGGAAAAGACAGCTCTTGCCGGCTCGCACGGGCTCGCTCGTAGTAGCCTCGTTTGGATTCCCCGAACTGTAATAATGATAATTGCAATCTGACGGAACCTCACACGGAAGGCTGTTGTACCCGAGGGTTACTGAAAAGCGCCAATTGTTCTGCTAAGTTGGTGATGGCAGGCGTTCTTCTTTTAAGGGCCTAATAATCACGCATTAGAGCTCCTACAAGAAAGAGCGAAGGATCCAGATGTTGAAATATCGTATCGACTAATGATCTGACATGGTCGGTACCAACCGCTCACGAACATCAAACCTTTCAAGGATAAAAGACGAGCTGGTTCTCACATGCGATCTCCCACTGAGCCTTTCCCCATTGCATGTCAGGATGGGCTACAGGGGAACCTTGAAAAATCTTAAGATCAGAGGCGACGAGGAATCGAAATGGATCTTCCGTGCCGGTCGAAGGATCCAGGCCGTGCTGAGAAGGGATGCAATATGCATGCCCGGCACGTCCAACGAATAACAACGAAGACTTTGACATTATTGTTCAACAATCCGTAACTCGAAATAGGGGGTAAGGTAAAACGTCCTGGGGATGGTGGTGGAGCCGGGCGCTAAGATAGCAACCATTGAACCAGCATCGAAGAACAGGCCTGTTCACACCAGCTTCCCCATACTCCTGCATAGAAATTAGGATACACACACAACGCACTGTGTAGAGGCGATTAAAGATACCTTTGATATTGCTAATTGTGGATGATATTGTTGCATATTTGCTTACGTGGTATAACACTCCAGATTGATTTGGCATTGACGACGCCGATGATATTTCTAATTTGTTATACTGTGCGCGCTCTGAATCTACAAGACACAAGAAAGGACGCGACTCCAGGCTCTGAGTGGTGTCACTGCCGCCTGCGCTGTCGGTCATGTATTCGCTCCACACCCGGGTCCTCGGTCAGTGGAGTCCAAGCCAGTGTGTTTAATAATGTCTGTGCAGCCGAGATACGCGTCTGCTTCCCTCGCTCAGGTTACCTGCAAGCTACCAAGTTTGGACAAATTAAGACGGCAGCGTTTCCACCCTTCCAGACGAGAAATGCAGTGTTTGGTGTTTCTGATAAGAAATGACCCGAAAGTACGAGGCAATAGAGATGGAGTTTCGAGATTATTTGTGAGCGAACTCCTGTCCCTTCTCAGGCCTCCTTCGGTTGTTGTTCCGAGGCAACCGAGATGAGATTTACAATTTGGGGATCTCTATGTCCTCCTCCGTTGGTCACTACGTATATTTTTCACTGCCCAGGAGTGAGCGTGATACGGTACTTTGGCGCCTGCCATTGAAGAGGCAAAATGATCCAGGAAGAATGATAGAGACCGCCACCCATTTAGATCGGACAACATGTCTATCTTCCTTCGAGCCCTTGTATTCGATCCCCAAGTAAATAGTTTGCTCAAGGTCAATTCGGGTCAGCTTGGCGGGCTTTTGGGTAGTATCATGGTCCTCGGGAGCCGGTGAGCGATAAGATACTGTACCTTTTTCTCGTCCAAGAGCCTGAAGATGGGTATGGGGCCAAAAAAAAAAAAAAAAAAAAAAAAAAAAAAAAAAAAAAAAAAAAAAAAAAAAGGAACGAGATGATGATGAAAAAATGTTCGAATAATAATGTGTCGGTCGTCATCGGAGTGCATGATTGCAAGAAGTGCTCAGACCAGGGTATCGACGGTCGAAAAGTCTTGGTTGAAGCCAGTCTGAGCCGTTTATGGTGACATGCAGGAAGCTGATTATCATCTGCAGCCAATGCCAGCCACTGATCTCCTGTTGATGTGGCACCCTGGACAACGCTTTGCTTTTTTAGGAAGTATGCGCCCCTAGGGCTCGGCGAGAAGCCTCAGTTTTAGCTTATGCAAGACACAATTCGCCGAAGCTAGTTAACCAGCCCCGCGACTCGCAACTCGCAGCTCGTAAGAGAGCGAGAAACAAGTCTCGGTCCGGATGGTTTTGACTATTATTATCATGGGCCCATCCATCATCGTCCTCGTGCTGCTGAGAATTGGGAGTCCGAGCGCAACGAGACGGCACGAAACGAATATTAATTCAACTTATTGCCAGGACGGCCCCAAATTTTGTTAGGAAGGCCTTCCTGATGCACCCTACCTATATTGCCAGCAGCCGCTGGGCAGCGAAGCGCTGTAACTGAAACAGCCTAGCAATAATAAGGCGCTGGGTTGTGAACGGTTCGAGACTTCAAGGCAAGGACGGAGGCGGGGGTGATGGGGCAACGCGACGGGATGACCGGGGCCGAGGATCTTCAATATGAGTTGATCCTGAGAACGTTGACAGGAACCACAGAACCACTTGATGGTGGGCACCGAAATTCCAAATACGTAGTTGCTCCGAACGTAGAGCTTACTTACTATGTTGGTATACAGACAGTTTCTCGTGGCTGCCTTATTTTATTTTTATTTTTATTTTTTGGTATTGTTCTGGGAGTTTGGGGAGCACTCGGTAAGTTTATGGCTTGTGCATGCACAGAATTCAGTAGAAAGGAAAGCGTGCTGTCAGTGCTTTGCGCCTCGTTCAAGAATGTTGCACACTCGTATCGGCTTCGGAGGAGGATCCCAACTGCTTGACTACAATTTCAGTCCGAGCCGGGAAAGATCACTAAAGAGTTGACTGGCTTCCACATCTGCTTCATGATGTCAAGGTCCCGCAGACGCTTAAGCCAGAACTACGTACTACAAGGTGATCGTCGAGCCCATCAATAATAACTTAATGAGTAAATGAATAAATAGTACTATTGCTATTATTGCCCACCTTTGCCGCTGGGTGAAGACTTGGACATGGTTTGGGTGGATGGTCTCGACTCCGTATCCCTGTTGCTCGCCGAGTCGCTCATGAAACCCCGGTTGAAGAGCATGATGCATGTTGCTTGTAAGCCTCGAAGCCTTAAAAACTATAACGTCTCAACTAGGTGCCGAGTTATTTCTGCGCCTGGCTACCTTCGTGACGAGAACCCCCCCCCCCCATATACCTCCTAACGGCACCAGGCTTCTCCGTAGAAAGTTACCGGTATTTTACAGGGATGGAGAGATCGCCGCTAGGATCACCACTTGTAGATGGTACGTACTACACTTAAGAAGTTAAGACTTTGGCTGACTGAGGTCGATGTTGGAAGATTGGGAGATTGAAGACAATTATGATCAGGACAAGGGCGTTCGAACATTCATTCCCAAGCTTGGTTTTAAAATAAATGGGAGTAGGGAGCGTGATTGCACTTGAGTCATGACTTAGTCATTTCCTTTGACCTCCTCCACATTCCATGTTTTAAAAATAGCTCGGCTTGACGCTGCAAGTTGCGAAAGAGCTGCTCTCATCAAGCTGGTCGCCGAGCTGTAAATTGCAATTTCCCCTCTACCAGCAGCGAATTTAGAGTTCTCGTTGTCTTGCAGAGAAGTGACTGACTGGAGCCGATCGTGATTGAGGGGGCGTCACTTCCTTGGTCGGATTTTAACTTCTCTTCGACTACACTGGAGGCCTTACGTATTGAATGGTTCTGATTTGCGAATCGCATCTGTTCCACGCCCTATGGTTTCTTTTTCTCTCGCACGCTCTGATCTTCGTGCCGAACAGAGCCTCTTGCAAAACAAGTGACCTCGCGCGCGCCGACCATGATTCAAAGGCTGGGAATTGCCACCGCGAGTTCATGTGCCCCAGCTCGCAATTTATTTAGTGCCGCCCGCGCTGACCAGAATAGCATTAGTGGTAGTCGTGGTAGTAGAATCATGAGGTCTAAACAGGTGATATCAACAAGGCTAAACATGCGGAGATTTATTCTTACTCCAGTCGCAGGTATGGCGACTGTGCTTGGATGCCGATCAAGATAAGTCCCTCCGCCCTCTGGTGTCACCTCAGATGCAAGTATTTAGTTCTGGTTCCGCCACAAAAAAGGGAAATACTTATTCATGAGTAAAAAAAAGAAAAAAGAGAAAGGTGACCCTCCAATTTCATGTTCTCTGGCCTTGACTCATCCGCAAGTATGTATGTATTGCCATGAGATTGAGACGCAGATGGGCTGGTCGGGAAGGTGGGTGTGCAAGAAGCTTTCCCTACTTGTCCTAGGCGAAGTCAAAAAGGGAAGAAAGCAGTCAGCCCAGATACTTTTGCATCTGCCACCTGCAACCATTGGAGTTTGCACTCTACACTCTGCAGTCTCAAAAGGTTCGCAATAACCATCACCATTTCCCGATTTTGCGGTATATGAATTTATGATTCGACTCCTACTATCTCCAGGATGGTGTTCAGTAATTCCGTAGTAGTATTACGGGTAATTTGTACGAGTTCCTAGCCTTCTCGGTTCGCTCGCAGATTCGGCCTAGGCCTTAACTTAGTTGCTGGTGGTAGTGGTTGGTTAAATCAAATCAGCCGCCGCCGAGGGCACAAAGTACCAAAGTAGAACGCAAAAATGCAATGACAAAAGGACGAACCCACAAATCGGAATACCTACTAGGCTGTGAGTCGGCGAGGGTAAAGCTGAGGACTGCAGTATGCCTACTAGAATGAGTATGGGAGTACGGCAAGTGACCGGGGCGGTTAGGACGAGCTCCTTGTTCACCCGGCACTGGCAGGCTTCGACAATGGCAATGATGAGATCCACTGTGGGAGTCGGCTCCCAGCCTAGCTTTGCCAGAGGACCTCGCGCCGTCTCTCTGGCGCTCTCAGGCTTCAAGTTAGCGCCTCGTCATCCACCCTTCTCCCCACTCGCTAGTGCGAAGTTGCTGCTCGTGCGCCGCCAATCCATCTCCACTTGCACTGTCCTCTGATTCCTCCATTCATTTCATCTAGATCCATCATCCAGGGTCTGACGCGCGAGGCACCTGCACAACACTCAAAATGACAATCCGTTAAAGACTTATTTTTATTACTATTATAATTTTTTATTATCATTATTATTATTTATTTATTTACGTTTCCCCCCCCCTCTTCCCTTCCCCATTTCTCGTCTCAGGAGTGGCTGATTGGTGGTCTGGATACCACTTGGAACATGTGCCAGCCTTGCCTCGACTCTATCGGCGACAAATAAAAGTCTCCAATGCTGCTGTCAGAGAGACCTCGATCTTTTGCCTCCGAGAAACTATTTCTCTACGTGACCTAGGAGGCAATTTTGTTAGTCCATGAGGAGCCATCCTCGCCCAGACATTCGTTTGCCATCCACTTCCACTTCCTTATCTCTATATACTGCCACTCGTTTCTCTCCTGTCTGTTAGTTCAGAAAAGATCCTCTTTTTGGCCTTCCTAGATTTGGACAAAGCCTCTTCCACTGCTGAAATTGACTTTGGGAAGAACAAGACTAAGGGTCATTGTTCTGCACATTGAGTATTGCGACCCATGTGCATCGAGGCTGGCAGTTAAGAAAAACCCGGATAAACCAAAAGAAGACAAAAGCACACGGAATCGATAGCACTATTTTTTTTCTTATTAGGGAGAACAGAAGAATTGTGTTGATTCCTCTAAGACCTGATAATGCACATAACGTATATGCGAGCGTTTATCGCTCTTTTGTTAGTGCCCCTCCTGGTTCTGTTTGGGAATCCAATTCCTTTTACAGAAAGTTAGCTGACCTGGTTATGCTATTTCACAGCTTCTACCGGTATTTTCGTCTTGTTGTGAATCTGGTTTCATTCTGGACCTTCAAGCCTATAACCCCGCCTGAAAACCCGAGATTGACTGCGGATGATGTGACAGTTATTATCCCGACGCTGGATGGCTGTGGTGAAGAGTTGGAGCGAACAATTGAGACCATACTCACAAACCGCCCCTTTGAACTTCTTCTTGTTACAATTGAAGCAAACAAAAAGAAGGCCGAAGGCATGATGAGTCGTATGCCTGCTGCTAAATCAAGGATCCGCCTATTCACCGTTACCCACCCAAATAAGCGTCGCCAGATGACTAGAGCTATCCCTGAAGTCCAAACAGCAATCACAGTGTTCGCTGACGATGATGTGATCTGGCCACCGAAGGTGCTGACTTGGATGCTAGCTCCTTTCGAAAAAGATGAACGATACGGAGGTGTAGTAACGTGCCAACGCCTTCAACGTGCTACCTCCCCAACCCTCTCGCAGCGTATTTGGGGATTCCTTGGAGCCCTCTACTTGGAACGGAGGAATTTTGATTGTGCCGCTACTACCCACATCGATGGTGGACTCCCCTGTATGTCTGGGCGAACCGTTGCGTACAAGACAAGCATTCTGCAGGATGATGCCTTTACCTACGCCTTTACCAATGAAGGATGGTGGTTCGGAAAATATCAGCTGAACGCCGATGACGACAACTTCATTACCCGCTGGATGGTCTCGCATGGTTGGGAGACTTTCATGCAATACCACCCCGAAGCTGAAGTCCAAACAACACTGGAAGATAACCCAACCTTCCTAAAGCAATGTGCAAGATGGTCCCGTAGTAACTGGAGGAGCAATCTCACAAGTATGTTCGATGAAGGTCATATCTGGCAGTAAGTTTGTTTTGATCGTCGATATTCCTGTTGTGTCTGTCGACTAACGCTCTACGTAATTGATAACAGCCGCCAACTTTGGAGTGCATATGCTGTTCATATGACAACACTGTCACCCCCAGCTCTCCTCGGTGACTTGGCCCTTATCTTCCTTTGTCATAAGGCTACTGCGTCTTGGGATGAACATACCCATGCGTTAGCTATGTCTCTTCTTGCTGTTTGGATGTTTGTCAGCAAATTTATCAAACTCCTGGGTCATTACATCCGCTTCCCGATTGATTGGGTTTTCCTTCCGGTGTCGATCCTTTTTGGATATTTCCATGGGGCGATTAAGATGTATGCCGTGATGACCCTTAGTGCGGTATGTGGCAACCTGCTGTTTTTTGTTGTATTCTCCCCAGTCATCGTGATTTATTGTCTGGTCTATTGGAAATGTTTCCCTCTGCATATACTCGTACATATTCCCCCCTTTTCCTGCCCTTCTGATGCCAACTTCACCCCATATGTTTTGCTAATAAACCCGTTCGCTTTGACCCCCCACGCATTTGCTTGCATTTCGTCACTCTCTTTGAAGACTAGCCGTGCACGCGAAATCATTATACCCAGCTGACTGTCTTTTGTTCGCGCTTTAGACCACATGGGGTAGTCGTGAAGGTGCCGATGACTTTGATGCAGAACGTATGAAGAGACGACCAGACGATGACCCTCTGAAGAAACCCTACTATCGCAAATTCAGACTCAACGGGAACGATTTCCACCATCGGTTGGTGCCCAGCGTAACCGCAGCTGATATTTCTTGAGCCACCCGCACATGCAATTCCCGCTCTAAGGTCGTGGTGCAGCGGCCTCCAACCGCTGGTTGGTCATTCGACGCTTACGAAGAAATGGTTTATGATGCTATTTTTCAAGAAATTATATATAAAGGGCCTATACGGCAGTGCCTTTCTCTTCTGCCAAAGGTGCCCTAACTGATTTATTGTTAGGCCTCATCCCGTGAGGATGGCCTTGTCACAGTCGATTTAGCTCCCATCGAGCCAACCGGACTGTGCAAGCACTTTTGATGATTAACTCTATCTCTTACAAGTCTCACTTGGGAGGTTGTTATATTCCTCGTGTAAATTACAAAAGCGTGGGCGGGCTCTCGTCGCTTCATTCACTGTTCTACTTGTTTGACCAAAATTGTTACTTGTTGTTATTTTCTTTTCCGTTTGCTTAGATCAACAATTGGGAGGCCTTTTGAGATTTTGTGATAATGCTTTATTTTTGTTTTGTTTCTTTCCCTCTTGTTTCTCCGATTACCCACCCTGCCTAGCGGTTTGCAACGGTAATATCTAATAAACTCCTGGAGATTACGTATAGTGTCGCAAATGTTGCTCGATATAGGGTTTAATCGTTCTTTAACTGGTTGATATGTGAATGGTTCTTGGTATCTGTTTTGGATCTAAATTTATTGGAGGAAGGGTTGATAAGAGGAAGGGTGTGGCCCCTGTTCCAGAGGGAAAACAAAAACCGCTGTAGAGTATTTTATTTATTGATACTACTGGAGTTATCATAGTCCGTTGACGCAATAATAATGTGGCCTTCAATGTAGACTAGTTTATACCTCGGTACTGTTGTGGAAGGAACGAAGGGGCCACGATATTATATTGTCTTCAGCGAGCACCTGTTATCTACGAATATCGATTACCAAAGGTTTTCAACATTAATATTCTATACGGAACCGCTTCTAAAAGGTTTTTTTTTTTTTTTTTTTTTTTCCATTTACTCCATTCAAAAGTCCGTTTTTGGTATACTGTAATTTAACATTAGTTGTGGGGGAAATGAAAGTGTGGCGTTTGTGGCGAGTACCGAGACAGCGCGAAGTCACGAGGTTGCCTCCGGGAATAGACCGAATTGACCGGCCTTCTGAGAGTACACCAAGTAGCGATCGAGCGTTTCTCTCAGATTAGGGCCATCCCAGCAGATTATTCCCACGCTGCCGCAGCGTTAGTATACATCTTTAATTTCCAGAATGGTGAAAAAGGGGATTATTCCGTTTCTTCGAACTTCTACGGCCCGTCCACAGCAACCACTTTTGACTGCTGCGCGACACAGTACCCAAAGACGCCGCGCCCTCCATTCCTCTACATTGAAAGCGGCCGTTGCGCACCCAATTACTGCACATGGACCTCCGCCTAAGGTCCCTTCGCCATCCCCTAGGTTTGAAGAGCGTGCAACTCATCAAGCAGAGGGCAAGGAAAAGCTATCAGAAACCGAGCCAGAACCTCGCCCGACCAAGAAACCTACAACACTGAAGAAGCGCTTTTGGAAAGATGTCGATTTTCAGATAAAGCAGGGTATTTCCGCTATTCTTCACCCTTTCCCCCCCTTTTTTTTTTAAAAAAAAAATCCTTTTTTCCCAGTTGCTAACGTTCTACTCTTGCGCCTACAGGGGGCGAGTATCAGGTTCTTTTAGATAAACGGCCAGTCCGGACTCCCTCAAAAAGCGTCCTATCAATACCGCCTACAAAACCATATCTAGCGCATGCAATTGCTTTGGAATGGGATGTACTGAACACTGCGCAACAAGCTTTGAAGAATCACATGATCCCGTTAACCTCTCTTACGGCGCGCGCAGCCGACATTGCACACGAGGACGCTGCGGGAGAAACACTTGCACGAGATCAAATAGTCAAAACCGCAATGCGCTATCTTGATACGGATACATTGCTCTGCTGGGTGCCGGAACACAGCGAATCCGCCGTTGAGGCTGGTGGAAACGATCAAAGGCAAGAAACACTTCGGGAGGCTCAAATGAGAGTAGCAAAGGATATAATCGCATTTCTAAGCACCAAAGTATGGCCTGGCATTGAGATAGTACCGGTTCTAGACGCGGAGAGTATCCTCCCGGCGTCCCAAGCTCCGGCGACGAAAGATATTATCAAGCAATGGGTTCAGGGTTTGGAGGCCCATGATCTGGCTGCCCTTGAAAGGGGTATACTTGCCTCCAAGAGCCTGCTAGTTGCTGTTAGACTGGTGAGCGAGTGGAGCGAGAACTTCCGCCATCTGCAAAGGGCGGGCCAGAAGAAATTTGGCATTGAAGAGGCAGCCGAGGCTTCCAGTCTCGAAGTTAAGTGGCAAACGGACATGTGGGGGGAAGTTGAGGACACTCACGACGTTGACAAGGAAGACTTGAAGCGCCAACTTGGAAGTGTCATCCTTTTGGTGAGTGGGGAGACACCCGAGAGACAATAGGGTGATCCTTTTACTCGAAAAAAGGTGTATATCTAGTTAGAAATAGAGGGCGCAATTTTCGCTGTATATGTATGCATAATATAAATTTGCGTTAATTAATGAGCATGTGAGATGGGGAATTTGATTTGGTGCTTGTGGTGCTACTGGATAATAAACTTCCACCTTCAAAGAATGCACTTGGCTAAGTATTGTTTCCAGGTCCATGCATACAGGCATGCAGTTGCCCTAAGCCATACTACGGGTTGAATGCAATGCGTATTTCCACGGCTATAGAATTTACGTGGTAACATTTTGCTGCTTACTCACTTAGTGGGACAAACTGGTGTATTCACCATCGTGGTTTGGACAATATCATTGAAGGTTTATCTTGAACAGTCGCCAAGGCGCCACAAGCTCAGGAAGATCGACGCCTTCCTCTCCTGGGGCTCGGCTCTTCATCTCTCAACCATCTTGCTAAAAAATATTACTTTCTGAAGTTATTACATTTTCATCAAATCCAATTTCCCTCGCGTTTCATCCCACCTATGCGTATTTAGTATTCCAGAGCAATGACAGAAAAGGCCGAAGGGTAAGTGCCTTAGACATATCTCTTTCTGGTTCCATGGGTCATCGAGCTTTGCGGTGTCATACTTAATGCGTGCGGGAAAATGAGTCCATGAATTATGAAAAGGCATTGAACTTTTCCATTGGACGACTCTACCCTTGCTGGATAAGCCAGCTGCATACGGCTGCCTCGCGCGCCGTCACTTTGCTAAGGAGATCAGAGGAACTCGAGTGACGACATTGCTAACATACCCCGCTTCTATTTTTTAGACACAAACGCTCTAAAAGTGCATTGGCATTGGCGATTCTGCATCGTGATAAGTCAAAAGACAACCGCGAAGAAACCAGCAGTCGCGACAACGGCTCAGCCGACTCTGCCACGTCGCCCCCAGCGAACAACAGCAGCAGCTTGTCGATCTCCGCCAGCTCAACGCACCGAAACTCCAGTTTCCGAAGGTCGCGCCAAGAGACACACCTCCCCACGATGCCTGTAGAACCCGCATCGGACCCTAGCTGGTTGGACCGTGGAGGCGACAATATCGAGAAGTTACCCTCTCTAACCCAGGATAGCGGGGCCATGTCCCTGGATCAGTCTGTTAAAACCTTCCGGATTTTCGAGGTCCTACGAAGCGGCGACACAACGGCGATTTCTAAGGCCATCAAGGAAAGCGAAGATCCACAAGGTGCGATTGGGCTATCTGGCACCACGATCCTCCATCTGGCGATTCAGTGTGCGGAACCACAGGTTGTTGAGTACGTGCTGTCAGCTGGCAACGATATTGATATCAATGCGCGGGATCGAGAAGGCAATACACCTCTTCATCTTGCTGCACAACTTGGTCGCGGCCCCATCATACGCGAGCTATTGGGCAGACCTTCAATCAACGACTCGATCGTCAACTACCGTGGACAAACGGCTCTCGAAGCCTCGCGCGCACCCGAGATCTTCCAGCAGCTGCAGCTTGCTCGCTCGCTTTTCATTGACGAAAAGACACAAGAGATCCAATCGTTAATTGCTCAAGGCGGTTATGACAGGTTAGAGAAGCTGTTGGAGGAGCCGCGTGTCGAAGGGATTTTAGATGTTAATGCTCTGGATCTTGTCACGGACCCTGCTACGCTTCAGTCGGGCGGTACCCTCCTCCATGAAGGCTCTAGAAAAAGAGACACAAAGCTTATCCAAATCCTTTTGATGCACGGGGCTGATCCCTTTCGTCGCGACAAGAAGGGAAAGCTGCCCCAAGATGTGACGAAAGATGACAGGACGCGGGCGATACTTAAGAAGTCCCCGGCCGCTGCTATAGCTCAGCGGGGCATTCAAGAAAAGGCCATTCTCGGTACTAGCTCGGGTCAGGGTGTGTCGGGACGACCGGGGGCTGGGGAGGCCTCCTTTGCGGGGAAAGATTCTCGGGAAATGAAGGGCTACTTGAAGAAGTGGACAAACTATACCAGCGGCTATAAACTAAGATGGTTTGTTCTTGAGGATGGTGTTTTAAGTTATTATAAACACCAGGGTAAGTGGCTTCCTCTGAACCCACCTTTTATACCATCCATTCTCATCATAATGTGTCAGACGATGCGGGCTCCGCCTGCCGTGGTGCTATCAACATGAAAATTGCAAGACTCAACATGGATTCTCAGGACAAGACCCGGTTTGAAATTCATGGAAAGTCGTCCGTTAAGTACCATCTCAAAGCAAACCACGTTGTAGAGGCTAAACGTTGGTTTTGGACACTTAATAATGCGATCCAATATTCAAAGGATGAGGCCAAGGAGGAAGAAAAGCGCCAAACAAAACACGCTGAAATACTGCGTCAGGCAAAGATTGACCAAATTGACGGCCGACCTAGTGAGAATCTCTCCGAATCTCCAAGCTTTAAATCTGGTGGAAAGGGGTTAGCGCCAATGTCTCTCGGTGTTCCAAGTAGCAGTGGCACGAGACTCAGCACATACACGTCTCGCACTACTCTAGAAGGGGTAGCCGCTGATGACGATGGTTCATTGTATGGCTCCATAGACCAAGGGCCCAGTCAAAGTGATATCAATAGGGTGGCCAGTCATGTTACCACCGCCCCTGACTTAGAAGGTGATGATGACGAATATGTCGACTATGCCTCTAGCCGTGAGACGCCACCTACTGATAAGGATGCCATGAATATCACCGCACAATCTGCAAAGCTCCAACTTGAGATACTCGCCAATGTTGCATCATCACTACAAGCGGAGAAAGCAAGTAATCCGGCGGTTACGCTTTCAGATGATGCGGTTGATCAAGCCCTGGCCGCATACGAGGGGGCTGTGAGTAGTTTGAAGGACTTGGTGCAAAATTTACTGAAAATTTCTCGGGATCGCGACTCATACTGGCAATATCGACTGAACCGAGAGGCCTATCTACGCAAAATGTGGGAAGAAAGCATGGCACGAATTGCTCAAGAGCACGATGAATTACAATCTAAAATGGGCGAGTCAGAGGAAAAGAGGCGGCGTACGAAACGAGCGCTTAAGGAGGCGCTGGAGAGCACCTCACCAAGTATCAGTCGATCCGCCGTTAAAGCCGCGTCTGGCGAAGTGGGACTCGACGGTGAAGAAGAACCGACGACACAAGCTATGGAAATCGTGGAGAATCCCTCGTACCCCGAAGATCAAGGACGCGAGCGGCCACTGTTGCATCACAAAAAGTCCGCCTTATCAAAAATTAGCAGTTTATATGGCTCGGACGATGACGATGACGAAGAAGATGAATTTTTCGATGCGATCGACTCCGGCGAGATCGAGGTCGTGGATCGTACAGCTCCTGAGATAAATGAGGAGGAAGAGGCGGCGCCTGAGGAGACGAGTAAGCTCCGTGCTGCTAGACGCTCTGAGATTTCACCGTCGTTCAAAGGATATGAAGATCCTGTTAGGGAGAGGCTTAAAATGGACTATGACAATCGACCTAAAATCTCACTATGGGTAAGTAAATGCTCTGCATCCACATCCCCAACTAACATCCCATTGTAGGGGATTTTGAAATCTATGATTGGAAAAGACATGACAAAGATGACTCTTCCAGTCTCTTTCAACGAACCAACCTCGTTACTTCAACGTGTGGCAGAAGACCTAGAATACACCGATCTTCTTGACGTTGCTGCCGACCAGACTGATTCAATGGAGCGACTGGTGTATGTCGCTGCCTATGCCGCAAGTGAATACGCTTCCACCATCGGACGTGTTGCCAAACCCTTCAATCCTCTCCTAGGCGAAACCTTCGAATATGTCAGACCGGACAAGGGCTATCGGTTTTTCGTTGAGCAGGTCAGCCACCATCCGCCAATTGGGGTTGCTCTAGCCGAATCACCAAAATGGGATTACTGGGTAAGCTCATACGGAACTAAGTTATGACTTGAGGCTGACTTGATCTGGGATAGGGGGAATCGTCTCTTAAATCTAAATTCTATGGGAAATCCTTCGACATCAATCTCCTTGGAACGTGGTTCTTGAAGCTACGGCCTGCGTCAGGGGGCGAGGAACTATACACGTGGAAGAAGGTCACGTCATCAGTTATCGGCATCATCACTGGTAATCCCACTGTTGACAATTATGGTTTGATGGAGATCAAGAATTGGACTACCGGCGAGGTGTGCTATCTAGACTTCAAGCCTAGGGGCTGGAAGGCGTCATCTGCGTACCAGGTGTCAGGCAAAGTTGTCGGTCAGGATGGCTCGCCTAAGTGGAGTATTGGCGGTCGATGGAACGACAAAATCTACGCTCGTCACACACCAGGATTCGAAGCACCAGTATCTGGTCAGGATCCGGAGTCAGCCAAGACAATTCTAGTCTGGCAAGCTCATTCCCGACCAACTGGCATTCCATTCAATCTGACACCATTCGTCATCACGCTTAATTCGCTCACTGACAGCCTACGACCACAGCTCCCGCCCACTGATACCCGTCTCCGGCCTGATCAACGGGCGATGGAGGAGGGCGAATACGATTTCGCCGCTACCGAAAAGCATCGGGTTGAGGAGAAGCAGCGTGCCAAAAGAAGAGAGAGAGAAACCAATGGAGAACATTATACCCCCAGGTGGTTTAGTAAAGATAAGTGTCCGATTACAGGAGAGGAATACTGGAAGCACACAGGTGATTATTGGGGTTGTAGGGCGAATCAAGATTGGCGCAAGTGCGAAGACATCTTTTGATGTCATTGCAAAGACAGCCAAAGACAGACTTGGATAGGCAACAATTACGTGAATAATTACCAACAATGCATATATTCAGTACTGCTTATCACCTCTAGTATAACTACAACCGAAGTAGCACTGCGGATACGTAGACTATATAGCCTTAAAACCAGCTTCGGTTACCGATGGTCGCAGTCACGTGTTTACGGGGGCTGCGAGAAAATAGTCCAAACTTGAGCTCAACACTCATATGATCCGCACGTTGAGCACCTCACTCAACCAACACAATGTCCGGCGAGTTTACCTGCGGACGCTGTTTGCAGGCTCTCCGTCGATCTATTGCATCCTCTAGGTCTTCCCTACGATCAACCCATACTCTCAATTCTCGACGTGGTTATGGCTCGTCAGTTAACTTGACCCGAGAACTTGGATCTCGAGGCAATAATTATCTTTCACCCAAAGATTCGTTGCTTTTAAACAAACATGTCTCGTCGTTAAACTTACCTCTTCCGCCAGTCGTACAAAAAGCAACATCCGCAACCTCAAACTCCGCCCCAGATCCCCGAGCGCTCTTGAAACCAAATAATCTATTTCACAATTTCTCCCAATCCCCGTCACCTGCGATCCGACAGCGTGCGGCTTTTATCAAACAAAACGCATTCTGTCCCCATCCAAGCCACCAACAGACACGAGTGCCGGTTTCACCGCATGACCCAGAATCGCGCAAAAGCTCCTCCAATGCTACTCTTCCCCCAGCCCATTCGCACTTTGAGTGCCCGGATTGTGGCATCCCAATCTACTGCTCTGAAGGGCATTGGATGGATGATTTTGAAGCCCACTTGGAAGTTTGCGAGACTCTTAAGCAAATCAATGAAGACGACCATGACCTACGCTCCGGGCGGTTTTTCCCGGAATTCGCGTATCCTGGCCTACAGGATGAGAACTTTGTTATTAATATGACAAACTGGGATACTTTTCTTTATACCAGGGAGTTTGATGCAATCAACGATGATCGAAGCATGCGGCAAGTGACGCGCATGCTGACCTACCCACTTACGATAGGTAGCGTGTTGCATGAATTAAGTCCGTATAGTATTAGGAAGGGTAGCAGGCTTACGGCTGAAGGTCTCAAGAGTGTTAGCGGTAAGATGGATAAAAAGCAATGCTCGCTGTTTACTCACCGTACGCTAACACGATACTTTAGCCCTCCGTTACTCTTTACACCCGCCCAAGACTGGTGAAGGTGTCGATATTCAAGGTCTACGTGTGAAGGCACCTCCAGTACGGGTCTTTATTTTAGGTGCACGTGCTGAGTCTTCCCTACCTCGTGATGTGTGGCTCCAACTTAGCCACATCTTCCCACGGTCTCTCATTAATCTCATCTTCATCGGCCCCGAAAGCATGGCAAATCGCGACGAGGAATTCCCTCTTCCAGAGAGGACGCCGGAGAACCCGTTCGGGGGAGTTGTTGAGGACAGATTAGGCGGTCAGATGAAAATCACAACTTATGTGGATTACTTCCACACAATGTATAAAGCACAATACTTCCAGCCGTTCGATCCGTACCTCGACTGTGTTGTACTTTTCCATCCCGGTCTTGGACACCCTGCCAGCTCCCATGAGTGGGAAGAGACGCTGCCGCTGCTCCTTGAGACCAAGATTCCCATCATCACTACGGGCTACACGCAGTGGGATATGGAAAGGGACATCAACTGGGTGCGCGACAAGTGTGCAGGAGAGTTTGACATACTGCTCGAGCCTGGTGAGAATATTTTCCGCAGCTTAAGGTGGGATCTTAATGACCTTGATCCGCATGATGTCTCTTGCGGTAATTGGGGCCTATGGGCATTCAGGGGGAAGAGGTATGTATTTCTACCCCTAAAACACGTGGCCGAATGCTAACTAGTTCCCTAGATATGAGGCAACATTCAAGGACTCTTGAAGCCTCTAAGCTGTGGAGGGAAGCTCTGTATCTGTATGCAATCTCCTTTTTTATATGTACAGTAGCATCATGCAATTCATATTGGCCTTTTCACTTCTTTTTTCAGAATAGAAAAGAAAAAAATATTTTTTTGCTTAACCTGACAGATGGTGGGCTTTTTTTTCAGGTGTATCACAATAATAAATTATCTCTGGGTTCCATTTGCCCTTGAATAATCGTGATATACTGACTATATAACCAGTAAACACTTCCATAACATGTCACCCATCGCGCTTTCTTGACAATCCTATACCCCACCCCCAAAAGTAAACTTTCAATACCCAGTAATTTGTCTAGATGTTTGTTTCAGGGCCAGAAATGAGTGTTTTGATGCCCTTTCCGGCCTTGACGTCCTTGAACGCCTGTTCAGCGTCTTCGAACTTTACGGTCCCAGAGATCAATCTCTTCACGTCAATCCGACCAGAAGCCACAAGTTGAACCGCAAGCTTATAGTCGCCGCTGCCGTAGCGGAAACTCCCCTTTAGGTTCAGTTCTTTTGTGCAAGCTGCCATGATGGGGAAATTCATCTCGCTTCTACCCATACCTCCTTGCACATAAGTACCACCAGGGCGAAGGGCATGGATACCCGTGTGGACAGATGGCTCAACACCGGAGGCATCGATCGCAACATCTGCACCACGGCCAAGATCATTTTCCTCGATCATGCGGGCTGCGTTTTCCGCCGCGGAAACCCTAGAAGGCTCAAATATAGTTGTTGCAGCGAATTGCTTCGCGAACTCCAATCTTGGCTTCTGGATGTCTACAGCAACAATCTTGGCTGCACCGAAAGCTTTGGCCACGGCACAGCACAGGAGGCCAACTGGACCAGCCCCGAAGACAACAACGGTTTGACCTGGGGTGATGCCGGCTTGTCTCACGATGTGTACGGCAACGCCAAGTGGCTCCATTAGTGCACCCTCGGGGAGGCTGATCGACCGAGGTAATTTATAGCAAAAGTCTTCAGGCAAAATATAGTACTTGGCTAGAGTACCGTCATAGGGCGGGGTGGCAGCGAAAGCCATTTTTTCGCAAAGGTTATACTTGCCTGCTTTGCAAGGCTCGCATCGGCGGCAGGGTATACCAGGCTCCATTGCGACGCGATCGCCAACCTTCAGGCCGGTGACCGCTGAGCCGACTTTGCTGATGACTCCTGAGGATTCGTGGCCTAAAACCATGGGCTCCTTCACCACAAATTGTCCGATCGCGCCATGGTCCCAATAATGAACCTAGGTGGATGTTAGTGAGTGGGCTGCTCCGCCCGGGTCAATTTGACTGCACATACATCGCTGCCGCAAATCCCCGTGAACTTAACGTTCACGATGACATCGTAGGGGCTTTTGAGCTCTGGGACAGGGCGGTCCTCGAACTTCACCTGGTGAATTCCTTCGAGAATGAACGAGGGGTTCTAAACAGGTCACTGTTGGTATTTTTCACGACCCATGCACACTGGTGTTTGCACATACCTGGGCTGTTGCAGTCCGCGAGCTCATCGTGAGACAGAATGGGGAGCAAAAGGTTGATACGAAAATGGTGGAGGGACGAAAGACGTGTCTCGGAATTTATACTATGACGTGGGGTCGTCTGTCCCTTTCCTACGCTGTGTCGAGACTCCAAAAGACTCGGTACGTATCTGGATCCATTCACTCGGAAATGTTCTGGAACGGAGAGTCATGGGACCTCATACTCCCGACAATGGCCAACTGGAAAGGCGCAGGGGCAAGCTGGGGTCGAATTGCTGGAGGTTCAGGAAAGTCAGAGCTCTGAACATGGTGGGGGTATTTTACCATGGAGAGCCTGATTCGACGATACGGCTCCAAGCCTGTTGGAAATTAACCGTCCTACCGGGTGAAGGACTTAAAAAGTCTGCTATTTACCCGGGCAATATGACTGCACGAAAGAGAAGAGTCCGAAGAACAATACCCACAGGGTAATCATGGTCGTACGCCTGGTTTACAGTCTTTGGAGCTTCTACTCACAGCCTAGTCTTACTGGGAATGATGTTACTGGTGCGTATACCTACTCCACAAACAGGTCTTGGCGCCGGACGCTTTCATGAAGCTCAATTTCGCTCTCCGTCCAAGTGTATTTCAAAGTTGAACCTGTTACAGTCCCTGATTTAGTGGATTAGTGACCTGTGCATATGGCGAGGGCTCGATAGCTCATCTGATTTCCCGCATCAATAACCATATTCGCCCGGTAGGTTTACACCGGTCGTAATGATGCGACCAAACACCGTGCGGTCCTTCCGATTGATACCGCGTGCCTTCCACCAACCAAACGGCATTCGACCGTCGTTTCTACATCAACGGAAGAGTTTCCACCTTTCAAGGAAGTATCTATATGCGGACGAGAAACCTCAGCCTTTTAAGAACCAACTGTATGAAAGTACCCAGCAGCGGCTGAGGCGTGAGCGTGCAGAGCAGGAGCGATATGCGCAGTATCAGACTCAATCCCAGAGTGGGCGATATGCAGCTTTGATGTTTGGTATGACTTTGCCTAGCTCCTCGGATAGACTCTTCCACCATCTGCGATTTGTGCTAACGGATTTTGCTTAGCATTGGTATTCTTTTCCACTGGAGCTTATTACTTGGGGTCTCTGAAACCCGCGGGCCTCCCGACGACATCCACGTCAAACCTATACGAGCTTGAATCCCCGCGGCACGATATTTCGCCATCTAATCTGCAAGCTGCTTGGGCGGACTTCGTTGAGATTTTAGGAAAGGAAAATGTCTCCACGGAGCACACCGATTTAATCTCCCACGCAGGCTCAGACTGGTCTTCCTACAAAGCCGATGAAAAAGAGAAGCCGTTCCTTGTTCTGTACCCGTCAAGTACCGAAGACGTTTCTCGCATAATGAAGGTGTGCCATCAACGCCTCATCCCTGTAACACCATACTCCGGCGGAACAAGTCTGGAGGGTCATTTTGCTCCCACCAGGGGAGGTGTGTGCATTGATTTTCGCCGCATGGATCGCATTTTGGAAGTACATAAAGGTGATCTGGACGTTGTAGTCCAGCCTGCGATTGGGTGGGAAGAATTGAACGAGACACTCTCTGATGAAGGCCTCTTTTTCCCCCCGGATCCCGGTCCTGGCGCCATGATCGGTGGCATGGTAGGTACTGGTTGTTCGGGAACAAATGCCTATCGGTATGGGACCATGCGTGAGTGGGTTCTCTCGCTGACTGTTGTTCTTGCGGACGGCACAATTATCAAAACAAGACAGCGTCCACGGAAGTCTAGCGCTGGTTACGACTTGACGCGTCTCTTCATTGGTAGCGAGGGTACCCTCGGGTTGGTCACAGAAGCTACGTTGAAGTTGACTGTCAAACCAAAAAGCCAGAATGTTGCTGTTGCCAGCTTTCCTTCTATCCACAGCGCCGCCCAGTGTGTCACGCGTGTTGTGGAGGAAGGGATCCCCGTCGCTGGGGTAGAGATCCTAGATGACGTGCAAATGAAATGTATCAATGCAAGCGGAACCACATCACGCCAATGGAAGGAAGCACCTACCATCTTCTTCAAATTCACAGGGACGCCGACAGGTGTCAAAGAGCAGATTGGTCTAGTCCAGAATCTTGCTTCGTCCGCCCAGGCTAAGTCCTTTGAATTCGCCCGTGGCGACGAGGAAATGGCCTCACTTTGGAGCGCTCGCAAGGAGGCACTGTGGAGTGTTATGGCGATGAGACGGGGTCCAGAGGACCACGTGTGGACCACCGATGTGGCAGTCCCGATGAGCAGACTGCCTGATATTATCGAAGCCACGAAGCAAGACATGACACAAAGCGGTCTACTGGCTGGTATCTGTGGTCACGTCGGGGATGGCAATTTTCATGGTATGTTACACTTCTTCCGCATTGTGACTTTTTCGGGGCTTCCCAATACTAACCGCCGTCGTGCTCGGCTAGCAATCATTTTGTGGAATGACACGGAGAGGAAAACCGCAGAAGGTGTCGTTCATCGCATGGTAAAGCGAGCTGTTGAGATGGAAGGTACCGTGACTGGTGAACATGGTGTAGGCCTCATCAAACGAGACTACCTCGAGCATGAAGTCGGAGAGTCAACAGTGGATGCTATGCGCCGGGTAAGTTGTCCATAGTATACTCACCAAACAACATTGCTAATGTCTCGTCCCACCCTGCCAGGTGAAACTGGCCCTGGACCCACTTCGACTACTCAATTGTGATAAAGTTGTTCGGGTCGAAGCGCCGAATCCTGGAGAGATTAAGGAATGGTAACTTGAGGTTCTAATATGTGGAATTGGATTATCATGTAACTGGGTGTTCTGCACTGTTCACAAGCCTTCCCTACTCGGCTTTCGGAGGCTAAATACAATCATTAACACTGAGTAGCTACCACATTCTGGATCTTAATATCTGTATCCACCACCACCATGACGGTCGTCGTAGTTCTGTTCGTATCTGCCTTGTGAAGAGTACCCAGTCCGAGAGCTGTACTCATCGCGAGACCTATAGCCACCCTGAGATTCATATCCTCCTTGTGGCCCATATCGTCCTTGAGACTCGTATCCGCTTTGGGGCCCATAGCCACCTTGAGATTCATATCCTCCCTGTGGCCCATATCGTCCTTGAGACTCGTATCCGCTTTGGGGCCCATAGCCACCCTGAGATTCATAACCTCCTTGTGGCCCATATCGTCCTTGAGGCTCGTATCCACCTCGGGACTCGTATCCGCTTTGAGGTCCATGTTCGCCTCGGAATCCGTATTCGTTTCTAGAACTACCATATTGGTGCGAGTCATAGTCATCTTGAGAAAGGGTTTCGTTTCTAGGCCCTTTCCCCGAGCTGTACTCATTTCGAGAGCCATATCCACCACTCCTGGATCCACCATAACTTGCTTGAGGTTCTCCATAACCGGACGCATAATCCCTTGTATTTTAGTTAGCTCATCACCCACTGCAATTAAATGTCCCCGTTTGTTGGGGAAGGGGGTTTTTACTGTTTAGGCCTGCTGTCCTGCGAGTATCCCTGCTGTTCATGGCGGTGTGACGAGCGGCTGTCATGCCCATAACTCAATTCTGAGTATTCAGTTCTTTCAGCACGCCCGGGCCTGTATTCCTCCGAATCCTGTTGGACGTATCTGACTCGGCCTTCATCATATGTTTTCTCACGCTGGCTATAATGGTATTGGCGCCGTGTTCCCTCATTTTCAGAGCCGCTACTAGGGTCTTTGGAACGCTCTCGGCTCCGATGTTTGCTGGAATGCCTGTGGTGATGCTTGTGCCTTCTGCGATCATTATCAGAATCGTCACTGCTCTCGACCGGGACATGGCTCTCTTGACTATGATGCTTGCGATGGTGGCGCTCCCGCTGTCCAAGTTCCTCGACAGGGTCCCCAGGACGTTGAGTTGAGGAGTGATATGCTTTGTGATGTTGCTCATATGTATGCTCTCGTCTTTCCTGGCCGCTACCGTAATCTCTTCCCTGCACAGGTTTCGAGTCTCCCTTGGACTCGTTGCCAAGTATCATCGACCCGACGCCACTCACAAGTCCACCAACAAGGCCACCAAGCGCCCCCCCGCCAGCAGCTTCTGAGGCTATCTTTTCGATTCCGCTAGTTTCAGATTTGTGGCCTTGGCCCGGGTTTTGGGAGCCGCTTTTGTGTGTGGTAAGCGGCTTTCCGCAACCGTGACCAGAGTCATGAACACCCTCTTTATGATTCTTGCCCTGCTTAACGCCACTGCGAGAAAGCTGCTCACGGAGGCTATCAAGTTCATGCCTCGACTTACCTTCCCACCATTCTCTCACGGTATCGAACATGATTTGGCGAATATCTCTGGAACCATCTCTTCCGCCGCGACGTAATGTCGGGTGGTGGAAAACACCAGAAACAATTCTATCCAAGGTGGTCTTGATATCAGCCTCATCATCATCCCATAGCTCCATCAGCTGTGGCACGGTCCATTTGACAACTTGAGAAGCGACACGACCAGCAGGTTCATTGAGAACATTGGAGAAATGATCTTTGGAAAGCATCGAGTGGGTGGGGTCGCTGCAATAATCATCGTTGAAGACAATATGCTGTTGCTCTCTGCTACTCTGGATAACTTCAGATGATCCTGTCTGAAGCTCTGCCTTCACCTGTTGAATGATAGGCAGAACTAAGGGAGCGAGAATGGAAAAAACAGCGACCGAGATTTGCTCTGAAACTTGCTCGATCAGGTCTGGCAAAACCGGAATTTTTTCGATCGCGTTGTTGATAGACTTGAGCAAGTCGTCATGCCACTCCAGAACGGGGTAAATCTGCTTTTGGACGTCATCCAAATATTTAGCCCACTCTTCAGGTTTGCGCGGAGAAACGTGTTTGTTTCTTTCCTTTGTGTTGTTTGTTTCAGCTTTCAGTTCATCCATCCTACCAACTTTCTCATCGCTGTTGCCGATCAGTCCGTCGGGAATCTTGCTCAACAAGTCCCGAAGTAAGCTTTGGGGCTGCGAACCAGCTTGAGATTCATTAATAACACCTTCCAACGATTGAATCTCGGACTGCGTCGTTTTATCTGATATTTCACCAAGCACCGAGTGGAAAAAGTCCACGCCTCCGAAGGTGCCTGTTACAATAGGATAGACTGGATTCGAAACCTCTTCAATTTCAACCATAGCATTCCGTCCAACATGAGGAAAAACTTCCGATTCACCAAGTTCGATGAGACTCAACTCCACATAATTGGAGTGGGCGGCATAGTCTTCCAGGCAATGCAGGCCGGTCCCAAGAAGACGGAGGGCTTCATGCAAATCTTCATCGTTATTTGATCTTGCATACTTTCGTCCCAATTGAACGGATCGGCCCAAGACTTGTCGCACAAGAGCAGCGGAGGTTGCAATGTCCATGCGCTCATTTGCTATGTAGTTCTTGAGGCCTGTTATCATAATCCAGGACGTTAGCGAGAAGACCGGCGCGGAAAGTAGTTATACTAACCTGTCCTAGGATCAATAGCCAATTCACGTTTCTTATCAACAGGACCCCTGAGACGCCGGTCATAGTTGCGGGCGTCTTCGCCTTCAGCGTATCCAAGAGGATTATCAATGTGTTCAGTGGGCTGATAGCAACCAAGGCGTTCTGTCGTGACTTCGAACTCCTTCGTACCATACCTAAAAAAAATTTAGTAGATGTCTTAAGTAAAAAGAAAGAAAGAAAGAAAAAAGATAAAAAAAAAACTTTCAGAGTATCATACCCAAAACTCATGAACCCAAGGACCCATAAAAGAATCCGAATGGCCTCGGCACTAACATATTTCACAGTTCCAACGTCAACAGCTTGGCTATAGTCCCGCAGCCAATTCCCAAAATAAACACGCTGAACATCAAGCTTGCTGAACTTCCGACCGCCGGCTGCACGAGCTAAGAACAGGGTCAGAAGGGCATCCTCAATGTCTCCATGGCGCCAATTCTGTCCCTCGATCTTGGAAATTGACGCAATGTTTCCGGCACCGAATGCATTGGCTTTTCCAGAAAGAGAGAAGAAAACAAAAAAAACAATGCATAGTGTTTGGGCAGAAACCGCCATCTTCAAGAACTCCCAGGCTGTCTGGGAAATAGAGAAGAGAATGAATCTATAGCCTTTGCTGTGTCAATAAAACCATAGGCAACTTGGTTCCAATTTGCAAGTAATATAACACCCTCGCAGGAAGCCCCGTGGAAGGAAGTAAAAAAGATTCTAAGAGAGAGTGGCAGGTTATGGAAAATTGAAACAGCAGGAGGGGTCCAATTGCCCCGCCATCTTCGTTTGCACCCATGCCCAACATAAGGCTCATACAATAAGGGAAGGGATGCGCAAGATGGCTTTTCAACTTGAGTGGGGTTATATCGCTAGCTTGCTGACGACTGGTTGTCAAGGAGTCAAACTGTCGTGCGGTCACCCAGTGCCGATCCGATTGGAACTTGGCAGGAATCATTCGTCAGAGCAAATGAATTCTCTCTCCACTGCAGAAACCGCGGGCTCCGCGTGGTGGCTCCAGAGACTCCGTCCGCCGTATTATTGCATTTGCGGTGCACCGGAGGTCGGAGACCCGACGTGGCATAATTCCTATAAACAAAGCCACCTCAGGCTGCCGGTGTTAAAAAAGAGGCCTGCCACCCCGAGGTAGACAGTCCACCGGGACTCTTAATTCTGGGGGACGGGGGACGCGAAAATAATTATTATTGGACATATATTTATTCGCCTCTCAGACCGCAATGATTATTGACGCCTTGACGTTTTATGCTTTGTCTATATATAATATGGTCAAACTATGTTTGGAGTTGGAATGGCTTCACAAGGCGAAGCGCATCTCGGGATCGATAACTAGAGAATCCAATGGTACAAACATCTCGAGATCATGGCGCTTCAATATGAACCGTTATTTACTATTAGTGTCACACACACACTCTCTCTCTTTTTCTTCTTGTACTTCCGATTTTTGACAAACCTGGACCCCATTGCAATGTCGAGGAGGATGGCACGGGTTCAGTTCATAGCCACCAACCAGCGGCACTACCGACCTACAAGCGAACCTGCGGGTACAGGTAGAAGGGCATAGCAGGTTGCGAGCCAGCTACGTATAAAAAACTTTTTAGAGCATACAAGTCTAGAACCATGCTGGAAGGCTGAAAAGCCCTCGCATGAGTCGCATCAAGTCAAGTGTGTCGCAGCTTTAAGCCTGATGCAGCTCCCAATGTATGTGGAGCGTGCATGGACGGGATTTTTGGGTTGATCGGAAGACCCGGTTGGTCGCAAGCTGCAACACCCACCAATTTTCTCCGCATTCGTCGAGATAGCGGTTAAGGAGACCTCCCCAATATGCGCCGTCCCAAGACGGGCTTCTTAGTATCTCACCACCGCAATCTTCCTCCCTCAATGTTCGTACACCTCTCCAGCTTTTCATCCGATCTCCAGGGGCTTTGTTCATCGCTATCGTCTTCGTCTGCCTGGGTATTTCTCTCTTTCTGGTCTTTTTCAGACTATTAGTAATGCGACTTGCACATTTCAATCACCGATAGATTGCTACCAGAACCCGCCGTTTCAGTCACTGCTTAATTGCCGAGTCTTTGAACTCATTTTACAACTCGAATGAATGCAACAGAAACCATGTACTGGGGATCTCATTATTAGATTGTCTCGTTTCTAGTATACTCTGGAGCGACAAGGAGAGGAGGGGAGGGGACGACGGTGTCCGTTCCATAGCACACAAAATATCTGCTCGCCATACATCATTGGTAGGTGCCAGAACGGAGACTCAACTCGAACGCGCGCTATCCGGAAATACCTTCATGTTTTTTTTGCCGTTGAACTTTGCAACTCCCCTGAGCAAGTGCACCTTCAGTTAGAAGCGCAATAGCCAGACCCGGTTCAGCCTTTGAGCGACGTCGCAATTCCAAAAACCGTCCCCTGCAATCGCCCGAGGAGTTCTGGAGCTTTACCGCCGCCGAAAGGCTCGTTGATTGCAGTCATGTCTCCTCACGAGACTGATAGTTCGTCGAGAAAACATATTGCGAAAGTACAAATAAAGCCTTTACTCAAAAGAGTATCGCGAGATGGATCACCATCTACATCAATTGACCTTTCGCGATCTTCGTTTGAACAGGATGGTCTAGGAATCTACACAAGCTACGAGAGGGACCGCGTCCAGGCTGACCTTTATAATAACTTTCCGGCAAGGAGGAAGCTATCCGATTTCCATCGTCGATCTACGAGCGGCACTTCTCAACTCTCCACAGCCAGCAGCTCTAGTATTGGCAAACAAGGCTCGCAATATGCCCATCCAATGCGCCGCGCACCTCGCGCGTATACTCCTCCTCTAGTACCCGTTTCCTGTCAAAACTCCTATTTTGAAAACCATAGCTCCCAAGAAAGGGGGCTTGCAGAAGGAGATAATTTGGTACGCGCAGACTCGGAAACCAATGATCAATATGAGCTCGCCCCTTCGGTGTCCAAGCCCCGCTTGTCACTGCACCTTCCTGACAGCTCATTTATGCCATTACCTGGAGCTGGAACGCCGCCGACAAATGTAACCGGCCGAGCATCTTTCGGCTATTCACGGGATAATGGCGGCATACTGGACACAACATCGCCGACGACTCGGTCGTCTCTAGATTTTGTTTTTCGTTCTAAAACACGGGCGAGTATGGATCCTGTGTCGCGGGCAGCTACAGTCCAAGCAGCACGCCAAGCGTTTGAAGAAAAGGAAGCAGCTAAGAATCGGAAGCTCGAGGAACAACGAGTAAAGGCAGCGGAAAGGCAAACAAAACGAAAGGAGAAACAAGGCTACCGGGCATCAATAGCAGGGGGTGACATACGAGAGAAGGATCGGGAAGCGAATGCCCCGGGCCGTACTCCACGGGACGGCTCTTATCGGTCGCATTCAACGACACGGCCACCCCCAGACTCGGAAAATTGGAAATCTCAGTCCAAAAGTACATGGATGCTTTTCCTGACGTGGTTGCGAACCAGGATATTCAAGTTCAGGAGAAGAGTCCGCAGCTTGAGTTGATGTAACATGCTATTCATCAAATTATTGAATGTCTATCATGCTGTAAATAAAGCGATTTATTATTTTAGACTATATCCAGAACCAACAAGCTTGAATTCTTATGGCTGTATGGTGAAGACAAGTTTGATCTATCATCTTGCTTTTTCATGTTAAACATTAAAGTGTACCAAGAGTACAGGAAGATTATCTGCTGTTTGCCAATCATGATCCATCACGTGCATGAAGTTCCCCTAAAAAATGCGCAAGTGACTTCTATGCACAGCCATATCACCACCCTCTTTTCACATCAGCTAACTAGCTACAGAGTACGGCGTGCTGGACTTACACATATAGCAACCGCGTGACTATTTCCCACTACGGCGTACAGGAGCGACAACGTATGTCTTGCGGGAGCTCCACATACACCCTGACTTTCTGATTCAACGATAAGACTTTCTTCCCAGAAACCCGGCCCCTGCCTGGGTTAGTCCCCAGAGCGCGCCTCCAACTTGGAGGACCCGCTTCGCATCATGGTCTACGATTGGGACGGGAAGCGCGAAATATGCTATCAGATGTACATCAAGGATAGGAAAGCTTTAGAGGAAATTATGGAGTACATGAGGGACGTGTACCAATTCTCTCCAAGGTTCGTTCCTTCTGTTGCCTCCTTGACGTCTGTTATTGTTAATAGCATTTGCGATTAATTCTTGGTAGTAAACGCGCTTTCCAAACGCAATTTAAACGATGGGGATTTCCTTCAAAACAAAATCCAGCACATAAAAACCTGCAGCTTGTGACCCGCGTTAAGCAACTCTGGGAAACAAACACTAGCCAGCGAGACATGCTTCGGATCCTCAATGAAGAAGGTTTTCAAATAAAAGAGCGCGAGTTGATGAGAGTTCGAGCCAAAAACCGCTGGCTACTCCGTGTTCCGAATGGGGTGAAAGCACAACAGGCTGCGCTAAGTTCCGCTCAGCTACCCGAAGATGACGGTCTACTAGCATTACAGCAGGAAGTATACAAAAGCCCAGAATCATATAATGAGCCGGAAGCTCTCCAGACCGAACCCGCTATCTCACCCGATCAATCACCGGGTTTGTCACCTGAGGTTGTGGCCAAGCGCAAGGAACGGCTCAATCGATTGAAGGCAGAAAGTGCAGAACGTTGGGCTGCTAAGAAGCGACGTCGACGCACAAGGGGATGGGCTGGGTTGCCGGCCGACCCGCCTGGTCCGCCACGTTTTCCTTCTGAGACCACTATTGACGAAAGCAAAAGGTATCTAGACCTTGACAACGCGGGCTACCGTCAAATCAGAGACCGGTTTCAGAATATCTGCGAGAAAGCAGGCTTCATTAAGAAAACAATTGCCGGGCCTGAGAAATGGCAAGAGGCGAAGAATACATTGATCCAAGAATCCGAACACCTTCAGCGTGTTTTTTGGGAGGACCCCAACCAACTCGAGGCCAAATCTCTTGCTCTTGATGTCGTTTGTACCGATGTTACCAAGAGAATGAGGACTTTGGAACGACGCATGACCATTGCTGAGGCCAAGAATGCGCTGGGAGTTAATCCAGAAGAGAGTCGTCAAATACGTAACGCGTTCTACAATACCCTGAAAAATGACCATTTTACGAGTAAACTGGAAGCGGGTGATGAGCACTGGAGCGAGCTTAAGGAGCAGTGGGTTCGGGAATCAGAGCTGCTCCAACGCATTCTTGCCCCGGGGCCTGCAGATTCTGGGCATGCCACAAAGTTGAGGGCCATGGAAGTATTGTGTCGTGATGTGATGAAACGTCTTCGGGATGACCAGACAAAAAGAGATCCTTCCCGTAGACGAAAGGTCACTCCCATTAAAATTCGTGTTTCTGACACAGGAAACACTGACATCGTTGAGCCGTTTGACGGTGATTTCCCAAACGGCATCAGTACACTTGCTTCACAGGCTCTCGCCAGCGCGCCGATATCCTCTGGTGACCTAACTGATATGCAAATCGACCCATCACTTCTACAGGCTGCTAATGATACGTCGTTCACCACCACCGCGCACCCTGATTCCGGCAATACGTTCGGTTATATGGACCCTATGTTAGATTCAACTGTTATGCCTATTCCAGTCCACCTTAGTATCAGCCCTGAGAGCGAATTGCATGTGGGCTCAAAACCCTGGGTTGATAGATTATCAACCAGGTCAATCAGCGAACTACGGCAGCTGGTTTCCACCAAATTCCCTGGCTCTGCTGTCATCAAAGTCGAAGCTTTTGATGGAGATGCAAATGGAAACCACATGACATTTGTGGTAGATAATGATGATGAACTATATGGGTATTTGAACCACACACAAGGGAGAAAGGCATCATTTGCCTTCTGCTTGAACAATGGATAAATGCGGATCAGAGTGTTCATCTCGTCGCAGGAGCTACACAGTACACCGATTTTTTTAATGTCTTAGAAAATAGGTGTGAGCAACCTAAGCTATGAATGGCTAAACAAGAAAACCATCAAGCGGGAATAGAACGCAATAATCACATTCAAAATCTTGGGTTCATCTACAGGAAGTATGAGAGTAAAACGTATGGCTAGTAGCCATCTACTGGTATTAGGTTATCTAGTTCTGCCTAGTGGTTACTTGTCCTTGAAGGCTTTTCCGGATCCGATGAGCAGTTCGGGTCCGGTGATTCCTGTATAGTATATCATTAGGTATATTTAGTACATTTTCTTGCCTTTTCTACTCCAAATGGCCCGGTGTAATCGGGTTGCGTACTGCCCCCAACAATCGATCATGCGACATTCGCACGAGTAGGGGAAAAGCAAAGTAACATTGGTCATGGACCTTGTACAACATGAGCAGTAAAGGTAGACAGGCGCAGCACAAAAAAAAAATATCGTGCCGATTCTAGATGTGATTTACGGCCACGATACCACTTGCAATCCCGTGGTGCTATTGTAGCTTATGTATGTCGCGGATGCATGAATCTCCGCCCAAGCTTCAAAAAGCAGACCATACATTTGCGTTGTGCTTGATGAGGTGAGGCATAACTCGTGGCTATAACGAGTATCCGAGCGGTTATACTTGGGCTTTGGCTCGGTCCCTCTCAGTGGGGTTGTATCTGGATAGTGCCAATTAGTCGGTCTTCTTACTCGACTGGACAAGTGGAAATCCAGAACTTACCGGAGAAGCTTTTCAATCAAATCAACATGTGTCATAATCATTCGGCGGCAGCAATAGCGTTTGCATCCGAGCTGGTCCATGGCATCGCTTGAGAGCTCAGAGTCAGCACGAAGCTTATAACCGCAAGAATACAGTACTAACCCATCTGGAATCCCTTCATCGAGTAGTTGTAGGTAGCGCTCCCATAGATCTCCGACAACCTATCCCAACTACAGATCAGGATCAGCAGGTAACAAGTAGCGCTTATGCTGACATACCTTGCCGCAGGAGAAACAACGAACTGGTATAATCATCACGATATACTGGTTATCGATGTGGTGTAAAAAGCGGTAAAAAATATTTCCTTTTTAACTGATGTGCTACAGAAGCTGAGTGGTAAACTTTATAGTAATTGTTAACCACAAGGCGACAATTTTCGCATCTCATCACTGGGCTGCAGTATCCGAAGGCGGTGTGGTCTGCATTAACTTTTGACGCCAGGACCCACTGTAGAAGTATGTCACTAACCAGATATGGATCTGTCCTCATTTGCTGACCACTAATAATTGGGCTCCAAAAATCAGCCTCCAGAAGAGAGATTTTTTTTTTCGATTCCAAGAACTCAGTCTATACTCAACTTTGGTAGTTCTCTTTACCTAGCCGGTAGTCGTGTCGAACAATATTCTAAGACCAGGGGCATAATATCGTCTTATTCACAGTCATCGATGTCGACAACAAACTATGGAAGCCCAGCGCGGCTTGCGAAACGATCCCGGCCAAGTGAAGTGGCACTTGAAGACAACATGCAAACCAGAAGAGAGGGCACGAAGAGGCGCCGGACTTCTACTGGCGATGATGTCGTTGGAGGGCACCCGATATCCCCCAATACCTTGGAACTATCCCAGAAGCTCGCATGTAATGACGCGACTTCTGAGGTCGCCCTTACTACCGACGATAAGGATGCGACAAGGCCGACCGATGGTTGGTCATTGACCCGGGGCATAGCCGGACAGTTTACTCATCTAGATCCTATTCTTTCAGCCGATGAACAGTAAGGGCGCATTCTTCATTCCTTTGATGCCGCGATCTAACTGTAACCACAGGTACCTCTTTCTCGGTCTCGAAACAGCGATTCATATCTATTCAGTTGTAACCTCCCGTCTCTTCCGCGTTCTAGAGGTGAGCCCCCGCGACAGCATAATTGGGTATCTACTATCTCCGGTCACCCCCGAACATATCCATATTTTCGTCGCGTCTGGGTCGGTGAGCGAGTGGGATTGGCTCTCGAACAAACAGCTTGCGCATTGGAAAACGTCGTCACACAAAACAATTTCAGCGGACTTGATTTTCAATACTCCCATGCATAATACAACAGATACTTATAATCAATTTCTTTGTCTGCGAGAGCGCAAGAACGGGAGAAGGGGGTTAACGATTACTCCGTTGAACACTGAAACCCCCAAGAGCACAGTGTTACTCGAAACTGACGTTAACATCGACAACTTCAAAATAATAGGAAGTGGTCAAGCAATCATCGCATATGGTGGTTCGCGCATGTATTTCGGAACTTCGTGCTTTACTCCAGACTCAGAGTTGGCGAATTACACGTGGAGGGAGGTCAAGTTGGCTACCACCATTACTTGTATTGATATCAAACAAGGGAAACCGCGTGGTTCAGAGAACAAACGAGTACCAGATTTTGCTATTGCTGTCGGGGGGGCGGACGGCTCTATTCTGATATACCATGCTGCCTTGGGCTTCCTCGATGTCAATGGTGGAGAGGACAAGAAACCAGCAGCTCCCAGGCGCCTCCACTGGCATCGAAATCCTGTCATGGCCGTTCGTTGGTCAAATGATGGTCTGTTTTCCCCTCTGAATTCAAATATAAATCCTGCTGATGACAAATAGGCAATTATGTCCTCTCAGGTGGCCATGAGTCAGTCATGGTATTATGGCAATTAGATACAGGTCGAAAGCAATTTTTGCCACATCTATCATCCCCAATTTGCAATATAGTTGTCTCCGGGAGTGGAAACTCTTATGTCATAAAGTTGGCTGATAATCGTGTTGTGGTATTATCAGCTAGAGAGTTGCAGCCCTTGGCTACCGTAACTAGCCTACAGCTGTGCGCTAAGTCTTCAAAACACCCTGGACAAATAATAGCAAAACATTCTCGTGCATCCAGGACGTTTGCAGCAACGCTGCATCCAAGGCGTTCGGATCAACTTCTCATAACTGTCCCAACCTCTCATCAACTCAGTCATGAAGGCATCGCGTCAACAGGTGCGCCCGTTCTACAGACTTATGATATCCGCTCAGGCAGTCATATATCCCGCCAAGCTCTCGCGCGCACCAATGCAACAGCATTAAATAATGGACCCGATGGGGCTCGGGTCCTTACACCTAATATTGAATATCTCAGCGTTTCCGAAGATGGGAAATGGATGGCTACCATTGACAGCTGGAACCCATATCCGGAAGATGTTGAGCCTGTTAACATGGACCATGGCATTCACTTAAATCCGGGGGAAATATACTTGAAGTTCTGGCGTTGGAACGAAACATCCTCTCTCTGGCAGCTAGTTACCCGCATTGATAGTCCGCATCTCTCCGCAAACGGCTCTGCAAAAGTTTTGGGTACTGCGTCACGCCCAAATGGTCATGAGTTTGCGACAATTGGGTCTGATGGATTACTACGTTTTTGGCGTCCAGTTATCAGGCAGCGTCACGGCATGAAGAAAGATAGTGAACACGCACCAGAAACTTGGAAGTGCCGGAATACGCTCGACTTGAGGGGGTATCTGAAAACTTGCGACGTAAATTCTACCCACCTAAGCTCTGCTTCAGTCTGCTTTTCTGAAGATGGATCAGTCCTGGCAGCCTCTTTACAGTCGGATGCCACAGACCTTGGCCTTACCATCCTTATTGACGTGCGAAGCTGCTGTATCAGATATAGTAAGGTTGGAGTGTACTCAGGAGATATTTCTGCGGCTGCGTTCCTTGGATGCTATGTTCTCATTGCCACAGACCGGTCGGTGTTTATATGGGATACAGTCAACGATGTTGTGAGAGCAATAGAGCATCCAGAGTTACAGTCAAACCATGATGGCGACCCACGCATTTTAGCTGTGAACTCTAGAACACAGACATTCGCCACGACTTCAAAGAATTTGCGAAAAAGAGCAACTTCGAAAAGGCTTCGCAAGTCTCGATTTACCGTGCAGGTATACGATGTAAACTCGGCGGCATTGCTTTCTTGTTTCCCGCTAGCCAAAGAACCGGTGGCTTTAGTCTCAAATTCGCATTCAGCTGAATACGTTGTCGTGGATGCTGGAGCAGATGTACAACGAATTTGCTGTGCAAGCCGAGCCTCTCCACTCGTTCTCGCAGACAATAACTTGGTCCAATATTCAGGCCTTGGGCTAGAAGATTTGTTTAGGCGGCATCCTACCAGCATGATGAACAAATTTTCCACATCAACAATTACCGCCGATTTAAAAACAGGGCCGTCGGAAAGAATTGGGTTAGCCGCTGTCTTTGGTGATACGCCTCCGTTTGTTCTACCTCCGTCTCGCATCGTCTTTCGTGACCTGGTCAAAGCTCTCTCTGCCTAGACAGCGCCAACTTGGAGACCTACTTACTCAATACATACCCGTTCTCAAATAATCTTGTGTCTACAGTTGGATTATGAGACACTCAGCAGCAACATCCATCCGCTGCAGTAAGCATCCATAGCCACGATTTGTTTCTTGCTTATAACAATATGATTATTAACTATTCTAATTCTCTCTAAAAGCTACGGAGTAAATAAGCCGTAAGTTTGAGTGTGAACTGGTACTCTGACGTCGACAAATCATGTTGGGTTGGGCTTTGGGGCAAGACGCTAGAACGACTTAGTCTGACCCCAAGAAGTCTATCAGCCGCGCGCTACAGGAAAAAGCGGGCAAGCAATCAGTTCATGATGTCGTCAAAATGTCAATCTTCGCCTTGTAAACTTACGGTTGATTACCCTGCCGTACACTCCATATAAAGTACGATCGTGTCAGCTACTTCAACTTGATCTCGCAGATGGCCAAACCATGAAGAGATCGATGCTCTACTATTACTGTCAGCACAACTCCGATTTATGATAGTCGCTGTCCATTGCTCTTATCTCTCATCCTAAGTGTGTGATTCTCGACGCTTGGGTGCGTCCTTGCCTAATCTTTAATTTTTAATTTCAGGAACCTTCATAATGTAAGGAGTTTCTGGCATCCCCTATTCAATTTTGGTTCATCCCAGCCTGATTGCAGCTAGGACTAATTATCCTAGGTCGGTTGAGCAACACCCTGCGCAAGCTACCAGGCTTTGCGAAGGCTCGCATCCCTCATTCATAATACCAACAGCAAATGTGGATTCTTACGGCCCAAGCGTTAGTGACAACGAAGCCGAACCCGAAAGTATACCCATATCCGCAACCAAAGCATCGGCGTCAACACATATTTCTCAAGAAAAGCTGGCGGTACGTCTTTGGAAACTAGAAGGTCACGAACGGACAGCCAAAAGTCCGCGCCTTCCTAATCCTGCGATTTACATTTCACTAACTGTTCATTTCCTCTTTCGCCTTTACATAGATACAAACTACGACTTCAAACCTGGGCCACTCTAGAACTGGACCCGAGGATGACGAACCGAAGTCGGTGATACATAACCCGGCTGGCTCTAGTGGATTTAAACTAAATGCCTGGCAATCGTCGGACAAAACACCCATGTTCCAAGAACAGATAATTACGTCTTCAGGATCTCCTGCAAGTATTAAAGTTACTTCTGAAAGTATAGGAGACCAAAGAGCAAAGGTACAATATAGGGCCCAACCCTAAATCAAAAGTAGTCCTACTTATCGCTTTTAGAGGTTCTCCAATAGTTCCATATCGCCTCCTCCGCTGACCACTAGTATTGAACCCACAAGGGATTGGGCTGAAAGGGGGACACCACGCGCACAGACGAGGCAGGACTTCGACGATATTGACAAAAGATTACATTTAAGTAGTCTCAAAGGCGAGTCGCAAACTTCTGTCGGCCTAGCCTTGCTCTAATTAATGGTGGATTAGATATACCGGAAGGTATCCATAGCTACAAGAGAACCACTGGGAGTGATGATCAAGCAGCAGATCAGCCTGTTTTAAAGAATGAGTATTCTCCTATGGGGAGTGCTGAGATAACGGCGTTGCAGGCAGCCCTTGTTGAGTGCTGGTCGCTTTGCAACACTCTTGCCACCCTAAACTCAATCCACCGGGAGCGAGGTAGTTTCGCTGTTGAGACCCAAGACGACGCCTGGAAGTCATGCTGGCGGCTGTGTCAGCAGCTATACGCAGGCCAAGTAGATGATTATGCGTCCCAAGTTAACCCAACACTTGATCTTTGCCGCAACTTCTGCCAAACTTTATTTGAAACTCGGGCTCGCGACAGTGAGGTTTCAGACTCGGTTCTCCGCGTGAGCTTTGAGCTGAACAATCATCTATATAATACACACGACCGTAACCTCCCAGATGCATTTAGGGAACGAACTCTCGACTTTTACATCACACTATGCCATCGACTAATGAAACAAAGAGATTGCGTACCAGGTACAGACTCACTCCTAAGCGCCTGCTGGTCCTTGGCCGAGATGCTGTTCAGTATACGTCAGAACAAAAAAGAAGGCCGTGTGGTAGACGAAGAATTGCTAGGTTCGGCAGTCCAAGCATGCTGGGAACTTTGTGATATTTTCCGAGAAGGATGGACGCAGAGGAATCTATGGAATTCTGACCGTGGAACACCTCGACCAAGCCAGGCGACCTTTACATTAGCTGAGAAACAAATTAAGCATTCTAATATTGCTCGGGCCGAGGACGCCCTACTCTGTCAGAGAAACCCTGAGACGCCAACAACGATATTCGAAGATATTGGCACTATTTCTCCCAACGAAGGGCCCGCTCAGAACATTTTCATGTCTGGCCAGGGTCAAGACAAGGCTTCACGCGCTAACTGGTCATCGAATGCATCAAGTATCTCAGGGAAGAGTCATTCTTCTCAGAGAACATCCTCAACAAACACAGTTATAACACTCTCTAGCGACTCGAATATAAACGGTCTCAGGGTTCTAATCGCCAAGGCAGCCTTGAACAACGGATTTCGGCGCAATGGATCCCAAGGTCTTCCATCCTTTGTTAAGTCACTGTCATCAGACGCCTTCGGGTCTGCTCCCTGGCAAGTGGCTCTTCTGAAACATTACAAGAGTCTGGTAGTGTTCGAACCCACGTTTCAAGATATTGAGTCTGCGACCAGGGCAAGCGCGATGGATATATCTAAGGCGGTTAAGCTTATGGCCCAGAGTGGGCGGTATGTCTGGCTATCTGACCTCTACCGCCTTGTATTCGGTTTCCATGTTGAAGAGGGAATGAACTGTGACGCGATTATATTACAGATATAGTCAAACTTCATATACTCTCTTAACAGTATTAGAGGTAGCTTAAGATAAATATCTGTTTCCTTTTCACTTGACAATACATACTGCTTCTGTATATACTATGGTTAAGTTTTCTTTGGGTTGTATGGCTCACGATTACTGCAACTAGTTTTGTTTGTTCTCCTTATTTTGACGTGGTATAATTGCAAATTTAACGATATCAAAAGAAGCTACTCACCTGAAGAGTGAAAAAAAGAGTTAAAAGGTCAATCTCTCACCCTACAGTCTGCAGAACAATCCAGCATGTTTTAAGTCGAAAGGCAGTCAGCTAACTACCAATGGTTTACGGATATAGTAGGTTCAGAAAACCGCGTTTAGGGAGCTGGTGCTTTCTTCTGTTCACTGTTCATACAAAAACAACAGCCGGTGTTATATCATGACAACATTGATAAAGCTATTTTGCTACAGTATGTCAGCCCTAGTCAGTCTCAGAGTTAATATTATTAACATTAGTTAGTTAACTAGTTGACTCCGTAGTTGTTAAGTAACCTAGGTGCTGGGCTGGCCATTATTACACCGTAGTACGACCGTAATATTAATATCGCGAGAGCTTCCGAGGAGTCTCCGAGACCCGAAGTCCTGCCTGCCACCACCGCAACAATGACCTAAAAGCCCCATCTCCAGTAAAACACTATAATAGTCCCCCAAGGTTACTATCCACGATTATTGTGTGCCAACTACCATACATATGATGAGTCTTTTTGAAGTCCAATTCTGGTATCTTGAGTGATCATTTTGCTTATCTACTGCCATGGCCCGCTTCAACAAGACCAAGGCCCGAAAGGCTAGCAAAAAGACACATACAGGTCCGCACTTATCATAACCAAATAGATTTTCCATGAAAGCTCTACTAATTGCCGAAGGTACAAAGCCAGGCTACCTTTCTATGCAGCAAGAAGCACGAAACACTGAAGGTCGCAACCTATGGCGTTCGAATTCCCAGCTCCGTCACCAGACAGTCCAGTTTGTGAGCGCAGGCAACCTTGAACAGTCTCAGGAACACAAGCCTGCATCCATAGCCGAGGAGCCTTCCAAAAACGGAGAATCTCACACAAAGAAAGCGTCTGAATCAATTTTAAATAGCTCCTACGGATATAAGTCAGATTCCAGCCCCGCCAACGAAGATGTGGCAATGACGGGAAGCCCAGCACTTCCTGTTCGGCTACGTTCTTTCTCTCCTACAGATTCGAGCGAGGATGAAGTCATCTTCCGGGGTAGGCGGACGCGAAGCAAACCACGGTCAAATTTCCACGTCGACTCACAAAGCGCCGCAATCAATGGCGGCGTGCTTGCAGAAATCGACGGTGAGCCACTAGCTTATACGCAGGCACCTATTACATCCGCGGATTCGTCACCAGACGAGGCATCATCATCATCAGTCGCTTTCGGCGAAGACTCTCACGATTGGATAGCAATTAACGACCAGTCCAATCGTAATATAATATCAGATGAGGATGAGGATGAGATCTTAGCTGACTACATCGCACACATGCTTGAAGACGAATCAGAGGATGGCGGCTCGTCTTCAAGCGACGACCGGACTTTTGGACATAAAACTGTACAGCCCATTTCGCAGAATGTGACTTGCTCCTCAGTAAGCGAAATTGACGGATCTGATCACCACGGCTCATCATCAGCGGAGGTGCTAGGGGAAGCACACGCCGCGCCCTCTAGCTTATCGCGGCCGACTCGAAAAAAATCTAAAAAGAGCATATTTGCCTCGGCAACTGCCTTCGCCGATGCACTGGAACTCGATCCCTATTATGGGCTAGATGTCATGGATTTCAGCAGGCCAAGCCTAAGCAAGAAGAAAAATAAAAAACACGCACATTCCAACTTTGAAGCCGTTGATACGGAGCTGGAGAATGAGTTGGTAAATGCCTGGAACAACGATCGCTTAAAGAAAAAAGCAAAGAAGAGGGAACGAGAGGATCTTCGAGCTCAAGGACTCCTAGGCCGACGCAAGAATGATCCGGACTTGAAAACCAAATATGCGAATGGTATAGACATCGATGATTTAAAATCCGAGATACGGTTGTTCCTTCTTTCATCAAAGAATAGGTAAGGTCTTCATTGACTCACAGTTGTACTTGTATGTCCTTGTTCGTTAACGAGACCCAAAAAAATACAGCTTATCACTCCCTCCGATGACCAAGAATCGCAGAATGCTTATTCATGACATGGCACATTCCTTGCGCCTAACCTCACAGTCACGCGGCAAAGGCTCCTCTCGCTTTCCCATTTTGTCAAAGACGTCACGAACACCAAAGTACACGCATAGGACGATATCGCAAATGGAACGAGTGTTTTCAAAGGAAAAGTTCAGCTCTCGCGCTTTAATGGCATGGGACAAAACTCGCAGTCGGTCGGATAAAGCTAAGCGTGGCCATGGAAACGTTTCTTACGTGGATGGTGACGTTGTCGGTGCTTCAGCACCCGAAATAGGTGCGGAAAACAAAGGAAGAGCGATGCTGGAAAAGATGGGTTGGAGTACAGGAACCGCTCTTGGTGCTATCAATAATAAGGGCATCCTTTTGCCGGTTGCACAAGTAGTGAAGAACTCGAAGACTGGGTTGGGTTAAGACTTAACTATTGACGGCAAGCCATTACGCATAGTATTTGTCGGGGTGTACGGTGCAATAGCAAAATTATAACGTATGCGTTGCGTATTTTAGCAAAGTTGTAGAGCAGTTCTTTTGTAGAAACATCGAAATTGTTTACCAGGACCTGTTAGCAAGGAATGAATGCGCAATATAAGCTCGGCTGCAACTGGCGTATTACCGCTATCGATGCAACTTTAGATGAGAGAAAAGCTTATTCCTCGAAGAGAAAGAAGCATTGCAAATAGTGCACTCTGTTAACTGGATCTTTTCTTCCGCAAGACGGGCCTTCTTAGCCCGCTTTTGCTTTGCCTTGCCAACTTTGGCGGTCGTTGAGGAAGAAGTTTCATTCAACCTAGCGGCGGACAGGCCTTGAGAAATATTATCGACGTTATCCATTAGAATTTGAGTGGATGGGTTCTCTTGGTCAAGCCTGCGCTCCAGAACCTCCCTTGGGGCATAGTCGGCATCATGATTGCTACTAGCCGATTCCTTGAGGTTATGAAATGGGCTGAAATCCGGCCCCTGAAGTTCGCAGCAAGATTCAGCTACCAGCTTGTCAGATTTTAACATTTCGGGGTGGCTGTGTTCCGTTTTGTCATTCGAACAGTCCAAACTCCGTCCCGGTGGGCTTGTTGAAATATTGACAGAGTCTTCTCCCTGATAAGAACCATCTCCAGTCGTTTTCGTGTCCCCGTTATCATTGGCCGCATCTCCTAAATTAAGCTCGTCGTTCTGGATCTTCATCTCCCAACGAAGCTGCTTCACAGCTTTGATGTGTTTCTTACTACGCTCGTGGGCCAGAAACTGGTTTTGACTCTTAAAAATCTTGCAGCAGACGATGCATTCAAACTGCTCTGTCTCATCTTCGTTGAAGCTTTCTGCGACATCTTCCTCGGGCTCCTCAGACTTCGCCCAGTCTTGCAGAACATGGCTCCGCAACCTTGCTTGGTTTGCTGCTCGCGACCTTGTCGCCTGGGAAGCGGCAGACTGGAAAAGAGCTTCACGATGTTGCGACGAGCTATCCCTATAAGATTTATAGCGCGGGTCTCTCTTCTTTGCGAACGCCACAAGCGATCTAACAGCTTCATTGAATTCGCGAATTGCTCCTTCTCGCAGACGCCTATTTTCTTTCTCCATCAACCGACGAACGCGGCGATCGGGGGCATCCGAGTACCGGTAGGCATCTTTCCACGAAAAGGATTTTTTGGTCGAAAAGCTGCCCCATGCAGCGTAGAAACCACGCACGGATGCAAAAGCGTCATCGCGAGATCCAAAAGATGGGTATTTAATAATGTCCAGGTTTTCCCAGCGACATGCTGATTCTTCTTCCAGCGCAATTTGTGCGAATGTTTCACGCAAACCACCATAAAACCCATCCAGTGCGTCTGTGAACTCCATCCGGGGACTGAACTTCGAGAATAATTTGAGAATATCGGCAGCCATCATCACGTGTGTTTTGTGTGAATTTTCAGTCATATTACCCTTTCCATCGCCCCCTAAAAATGCGTCGCGGTGAGAATCATACCATGATCGTTCTTGGGGATCTGAGAGCACTTCGTAGGCAGATTGAATCTCTGCAAAGAGGTTCGTTGAGGCATGTACATTCCCAAAGTTTCTGTCGGGATGTAGCTCCAGTGCCTTTTTTCTATAGGCCTTCTTGATACTGTAAATAAATGACAGCAAGATCTAGTCAGTCCAGCTACCTAGCCGAGTTTGATTGTTGGGAACAGACTCTTCCGACGACGCATTTTGATCCACCTCAAGAAGTTCGTAATAGTCTTTCTTGGTAGCACTCTTCTCGTTTGAATCCCCAGTACCCGCTTGGGCTGTTGAGTGACCTTGGCCCATGTAGATTTAAAATGATGTTCAATCTGGATCAACAGAAATTGAATAGACTCCCAGGTTGGACGGAAAGTGCGGAGTAGTGTAGAATAATTGGGTCCAGAGAGGGGCTGAATCTCGTCATCGTGTTCGTAGCCCACCGACAGCCTCCCGCCAAATACTATCGATGAAATGCACAGCAAAGATTGTACCAAATCTCACACAACGGGATGGTCTTGTCTCTCAGCGAATTTCCAGAAGAAATACTCTATAATATCTTGTTGTTTTGCAGTGCCTCGGACACTGTCGTTGTAGGAAGCGCCGCGCGCCGATTTTGGGGGGTTACAAACGAACCATTATTATGGAGGCAATACTGCCGGACTCAGTTTAAATATTGGGCCCAAAGGCATGGCATGCCAGCAAAGCTTTCGAGCCCCGTCTCGAGTGTGGATTGGAAAGCGCTCTACATATCCCGACATCTTATTGATCGCGCCACCGGTCAACTCCTCGACAGCATCCTTACCAGTCAAACTGGAAGGATAGAAAAATTTCAATCGATTATCCGGTTTGGATATGATGCCAAAGACACTCTTCTGCGCAATATTTTCGTCGACTCGTGTACAGAGGATTACCTAGCTCGCAGGTTTGTGGTCTCCGGTTGCTTGAAACATTACTCTCTAACACCTGTAAAAGATACTATGCCAAAGCAGTCCTGGCTAGTTTACACCGAAGCATCGCCATTCCTGAATGGGATGCACTTAGAAATGGGAATGCGATATCGCTTGCTAATGCGGTGGGCGCGTTTGATCTTTTCATACCCGAAAGTAGATTTGGCAATTTTGATGAGGTAGGCAAAGTGAAATGACACCAGTGGCATTTATACTCAAAATTGTTGCAGATTAATGATAGATTGGACGGGATATTTTCCTGTTTTCTCCTCGAGCATCCAAACATACTCAATGTGACCTCTCGTGAAAAGGCAAGTGTTATCGCTACATATTTGAGAGATAATAACATGATCGGCATCGAACCCGGCCGGGAGTATCATTGCCTGGAACACAACTTTCTAGGCCTTGCACTGGATGATGCCGGGCATAATTCACTGCCATTGGTGTCAGCAGTCATATACTGTCATTTTGCACAGAGGCTTGGGCTTAATGCCCGTCCATGCGGTTTTCCTTTCCACGTCCATGTTATCGTTCTGCCTCCTCTGGGTTTTGACATTGACGGTAACACTTTAAGTGCTGATAATCAATGCGAACCGATTTACATGGATCCCTTCCGTTCTATCAAAGAGACCCCCACGTCGGACATGAGGGCTCAGTTGATTTTTCTAGGGGCATCATCAATGGAGCAATCGGCCTTTTTGGGTGAGTCAGGGACATCTGAGATTGTGCTACGGTGCAGCAGGAATATTTTAAATTCAGTACAACGTATCGGTCAATTTCCCAGTGGGGGATTGGTGCCAGTTGACGTTGGCTGCGCGCGATATGCCGCACTTTGGTCTTCCTTGTTATTATCAAACCCTCTCCGTCCAGCTGAGTCGCGACATCATCTTCTTTGGTTGATGGAGCTAGTCGCTACCGACTTTCCGTATGACATTTATCTCATTGAGCAATATATTGCGTCTATCTTCCGTGGGACGCTGGAATTTGAACATATTATGGAGAGCGTACATGTCATCAGAGCCGTTGATGAGATGCAGAAACAGCCGAAAAGGCGGCCTTCTGAGCACAATCGGGTGAACTATCGCATTGGTCAAGTATTTCGGCATCGTCGTTATAATTATTCGGCCATAATTACGGGTTGGGATGCTGAGTGCGGGGCTGGCGAGCAGTGGATGAGAAGGATGGGGGTCGACCATCTCCAAAGCGGAAGGCACCAAAGCTTCTACCATGTGATGTGAGATTTGCGCGTTTGTCTAGACCTGATAGATGCTAATTTGCTCCCAGTGTGGAGGACAAGAGCATCCGATATGTTGCTGAGGAAAATATTGAAATTATCACACCAGTCATTTCAGAACTGCCGCCAGCACTGGTCACAGTGGCGGGGAGATATTTCAAACGATGGGATTGTGTATCACGAAAATTTGTGAGTAATATGATGGATGAGTATCCTGATGATTAGACTGCGGCATATATTACAATCAACAAGTTACTTGGTGTTATGTGCTGCTACATACAGATAGCACACTGGAAAGTATGCCTGGGGTATGCTACAGCCGCTTAGCAGCTATTAAGCCTATTGTATAATATTGTGATATCATGGCTGGGTCCCCCTAGATGATATTGGAACCTTTAATACTGTTTAAAGGTACTAGTATCCTGGATTTCTACTATCAGGAAGTTCTATTACTGATACCTAGTTTAGTTATATATAAGATTACTAGATATCAGGTAAATAAAATAATAATAAAAGTAAAAAATAGGGTTTAAACTGGTAATATTTTAAGAGCTTTAATATATATTAAATATAAAATATTATTATATCTAATAGTATATTTTATTTACTAGTGGTCTAGTAGATATTTAAGAAAAAATTAATTAACCTTTTAAAACTAGTAGTAAAATATCTATTAATAATTATAATTTTAAAAGATTCACTATAATTTTTTTTCTATATTTGTCGCGATGACGCGTTCTTGATGGAAGTTGAAAGTGTTAAATTATCCTTAATAGGATCTAGGAAGTAGAACTAAAGCTATATAGCTAGATTATAATAATATAAATCTATTAGTATATAAATATAATAAGTAACAGGAGGCCTTTAATATATAATAACTAGATTAATATTATAATAATAGGATTAAATAAGAAAACTCCATATCTTTATAGATATATTAACCTACACAGGAAATATAAAATAATATATATATAAATAGTAATTAGTAATAATAGTAGGATTTCTTTACTTAATTATTCTTTAAGTATTTCTTATATTTAGTGATTACTTTCTTAGTACTAGTAAGATTTTATTCTAATATTTATTAATCTTTATTAGTATTATATCTAGTTTGATATACTAAAAATTATATAAATTAAGTATAATTCTAATTATAGTAAATAGATTATTTATCAATAATTTTTTATTTTCTAGTAGTCTTTATTCTTAGGATATTAGTTATTAATAATATAATCTAGCTAGCTTAATATAATACTATTTATAAAAATTATTACTAGAATTTAAAGTAGATTCTTAATAAGTAATAAATATAATAGAATATATCTTCTAATTTAATAGTAAATTTTTAAGTTGGTAAATTTATTTTCTAATATATTTATTAATAATAAAAGGACTGTAGTAGTTGAAGTTATTAGGAAAGATAATAGATTAAGTAAGATAGATAGTTATATAGAAATAGTAGATCTAGAATAACTAATTAACTATTAACTAAGCTAAATTAGTACTAGTTCAATAAGATAATAATAAGTATACTATAATAATAAAATAAATAATAGAGATAGTATTACTATAGATGTAAAAAAATTTAAGAATATAATAATTTTATCAACTATAAATAAAAAATAAAGTAGATAATTTTTATTTATAAATAAAATATAGCTTAAAACTAGGCCTAATAAATAAAATAGACTAGAATAAAATATAAAATAAGCTTAAAGTAATCTTAATAAATATAATAGTAAATAAAATATTAAGTATTATAATCAGAATTATAAAATAGTTTAAATTTAAAAATAATTTTTTAGTATTAATAAGATTTTTTTTAGATTTATTAATTATATTTAGAGTTATAGTTTAACTATTAAATATAATATTTAATAAAAAGAGTATATTTATAACTATATAAATAAATTTAGTAATTAAATATATTTCTAATTTTATAGTAATTAAGATATTTAGAAAAATAAATATTAAAAATAATATAAAGTTTTATTTTCTTATATTTATATAGATTAGGATTTATAGATATAACTTTTAAGTTAAATAACTAAAATAACTAGATATATATTTTAGAAGTCAGGCAGCTTAAATAACTTATATATAAAATATTTAATATAATAGATAATAATAAATAGTCTAGTATAATAAAATTCTAATTTTAAAATAATATTAATAATAATAAATAAATTATATTTTTTATATTAATAATAATAAATAAATTATATTTTTTATATTAATAATAATAAATAAATTATATTTTTTATATAAATAATAATACTTAACTTCCAGATTTAAATAAAATAAATTTATATACTTCTTTAATATTTAAATAGAAGCTAAAATCTTATTTAAAAAATTAATAAAATACATACTAAAAATATATAAATTAATATTAAATAATAGATAATAAGATATTTTATTAATTATAATATTATAAAAATTATTAATTATAAAAATTATACTAGATAATTACTAGGAAAAATTATAGAATAACTTATATTAATATAGTTAAAACAGGCTAAAATATTGAAAAATAATTTATTATAATATTTTATTAAAGAAATTTTACTATTAAATATCTTATTAATAAAAAATATTAAGATAGATTAAAGATATTTTACTTATAATAAATATTAGAATATAATAGATCTAGATATAGAAGATATCTTATTCTATATTAATAAAAATAGAATTAAAGCTTTATATCTATAGAAAAGACTCTAGGACTTATTTATATAAAAATATATAAATTATATAATTACTTAAGATATCCAGGACTACTTAGTACTATTAATATATAAATATAATAACTATTAATATACTAGAATATTTAGATTATATTATATAAATATCTAGTATATTAAGTATTCTAAAGATCTTAAATAGATCTAGAAAAAAAATAATAAAATTATATATTTTAAATAAATATTAAATCTTTTAAATAATAAGAATTTAATTTTACTAATTCTTTACTTATAATTCTAAATAAAAACTAATAAACTATAATAGCTATTAATTATACTATAAACTAGCTAGTAGCTAAAATAGTTTTAAATATAATAGATAAAATTATTATTTATTTTCTATATAAGAATATTTTTATCTAGTATAGAATAATAAGTAAGCTTATATTAGATAATAGACTAAATATCTTATTAAAGATAGTAGTCTACTATATCCAGCTTCTAGAGATAAAATATTAAATTATAACTATCTATTATCTATAAATAAATAAATATATTAAAAGATTAAATAAAATTTTAAAATTAATACTTATAAAAATACTAATTAAATAACTAGTATATTTATAAAATAAATATCTTTTTTAAATAATATTTATTACTAAAATTTAAGTTTATAATATTATTAATACTAGTTTATTTAAGCTTATTTATAATATTAAGTCTAGACTACTAAATAATAATATAAAAAAAAGTTATATAGAAAAATTAGCTTATCTAAATCTAGTATATATATATTTTAGCTAATAAATATCTATTAACTTATACTATTAAATAATAGAGTATCTAGAATAATCTTATTAAAAAGTATCTATTTAAAAAGAATAACTAGATTCTTATATATAATAAAATATTATAGAAGTTCTAGCTAAAGTAATTTAGTTTATATTAAATTTTAAAATAATATCTATTAAAAATTTATATTATTAAGAAATTTAATAGCTAGATTATCTATATATATATACTAATATAGCGGCTATCTAGGGATTATAAAGATATAATATATAGTTAATAAAAAATAGATCTATATTTAATAGAATTAATTACTAGTTATTCTAGCTAAGAACTAATAGTATAATATACATTTATATATTATATAATAGCCATTTAGCTATTATAATATATCTTAAGTATACTTATATAATATTTATAAATAATAGTATATAATAGTTATTTTCTTTTCTTAAATAATTAGTTAATTTCTTTTATTTTTATAGCTATTTTAATTTTATAAATCTTATTAAATTTTTCTAGATTAAATTAAGTCTTCTAATATTATATTATAGATTAATATATTACTATATTAATTTAATAATAAAAATTTTATATTATTATCTCTTAATTATATCTTAAATAATTATATTAATATTTAGTATTTAGATTCTTTTAATTTCTATAATTTAAATAAGCTTTTTACTAGTTATTTTATTTAAGAATTTATAGAAATATTATTACTAGAATTTTTATTTATATATAGTATATTTATACTCTATTTTTTTAATTAATTAATTTTTTATAGAGTTTTATTTAATTAGTTTAAGCTTTAAATATATTATTCTATATATTTTTCTATATTAATTACTATTTTTAGTAGTTATTTTATTTTATACATTATATTAATATTATTATTAGGATTCTTAATATTTTATTATTATTTTATAATATTTACTTTCTTATTTCTAGTTTCTAATTAATCTAGTTTTATAATTATTTCTATATCTAGAATCTTACTAATATAATATTTTTAGATATTACTATATAAAAAGTCTGCTGTTACTTATACTACTAATATAATACTCTATATATAAGATATATCTTACTTATTTTATTACTAATATTTTTCTAAAAATAAATTTTTCTCTAGCTTTTTTATCTATATTTATATCTATATTTATATCTATATTTATATCTATATTTATATCTATATTTTTACTTTTACTATTTTCTTATATTCTCTTCTTTATATTTTTTAGTTTTTTTCTCTATACTATTAATCTCTTATTTTATATTCCCTGCCCTGGCTATTATATATTATATATATCTATTCTATAGTAAGCTTTATTTATTTATAATATTAGATAGTCTTTTAGAGTAATATAATACTTACTATTATAATAGATATAGTACTTAGTTCTATAATAAGATAAATTTTTTAAATTTTTTTTATATTAAATCTAGAATATTTTATTAATTCTCTTTTTTAGAATTATAAAATAATTATTATTAAGATATATTTTATTACTAGTAAAATATTTTTTTTAGACTAGTATTATTAAAAATAACTATAATCTACTAAAGATTATTATTTATTATTATATATTTTATTTTTATAAAAAAGATAAAGATATAGTTCTTTTTATTACTAGTTAAAGTAAAAGTCTTTTTCTAGACTATTTATAAATATTTTTATTTATATTTATTATACTTTTATTTAATATTTTATAATTTTATACTTAGTATTCTAGTACTATATATTTTAATTATAATACTATAAATTATTTAATTTTAAAAATCCTTAGAAGAGATTCTTTTAAAGATTTATATTTTTAAAAAATCTCTAGAAGAGACTCTTTATAAAAATAATAAATAATTTTTCTTTTTTTTGTATTTTTTTAAATTAATATTTTTTTATTATAATTTAAAATTTTATATAATTTATAAATATTATAGTTCTTTTTTTTGTATTTT